ACTGTTAGGTTCCTGCTGTTTCCAGTGCCCTTTGGTTTCCTGGCAAGCCAGTCTGAGAAATTCTGTGATTCAGCAAACCTTATTCCTGGTTTCAGTTTACTGTCTTTGGGGTCGTTACTCACATCTGAAAGAATTACCCCAGGTTGCAATGGATAATTCAAATCTGGATCGCACAAAGTTTCTAATCTCCTTGTTAGTCTTCAAAAATTTCTTCTCCATCGCTATCATGTAATGTTCCTGAGGGGTAATTTAAAAGGGGATCCAGCTGTATCCTCAGTTCAAGCCTTTCAAGTGAATGTAGTTTCTGAGAGAATGCAAAGTATTATCTTTTGGTACAAACACTTGTGGCCCGTACTCCTTCCTGGCAGCTTTCTTCCCTGGTAAGTGCTGTTCATTATAAATTTGCCCAAAGTGGTCAATACATTTTCCTCCATAGAACTGAGGTCAATCTGATTTTAAAACCTTTTAAACACTTTAGGCTTATCTGTGGAAGTTTCAGTCCTACCTGAATTATGCTTTTGGACCTATCTGGAAACACTTCAGGTTCTTTTTTCCCCCTTCTTTAATGAGCGAAACGTTTTGGTTTCAGAAATTTGGTGAAAGGTGGGGTTGACCAACGCAGTCTATATGCACATTTCTATATACATTGCCTATGGGGGAATTCAACTTCCCTGGATTTCTCCGTGCTCCGGTAAAAGCCCTCGCCTCCGGAGACCCTTCACACGGCATAATGATTAGATCTGTGGTCATTTATCTACCTAATTGCTCTTCTCTGAAAGGACATGAAGTTCCTCTTATCTCAGGGAGGGAGAGGGCCAAATGGCTCCAGCCAGACCTAGGGCCCTAGGTGAAGCCCCAAGGTGCCGGAACTCTGCAGTGCTCTCTGTAGGTAGATATTCATATCAGAAGGAATGAAGTCCCTGAACTTGCAGACTCTAGGAGGGGGTAAAAGCAGAGACCCTGGGGGGCCGTCTAGCTCTTGGAGAGACTATTTACATACCAAAAGGATGGAGTTAGGTTTCAAACCCATTTGGTATCCAAGCAGTCTTTCAAGAAGGAAGGGGACTATCTGCCTCCTTCCTCTTTATTAGCAAAGAAGCATTATTTTTTCCTTGCATAGGACATTTGACCCCTGGCCAGCAGTAAGATCTGGGGGACGTGGGGGTGGAGGTGATATACTTATTTCTATTTAGGCAATTGATAAGAAATCTGTCTCCGATCCAGAACACCTTGTCTGTACATTCAAGATACAATCGATAACAATGAACATGAAAAACCAAACACTGACAGACTGGGTGATCAGACTGGGGTGCGTCCTTTCCCTCCTTCCCCACCAATCACAAACAGCTGTGGAGGGAGGGAGTAAGGTGTCCAGTCAAAAGCCTAGTCCTGCCTTTCTAAGCTGGAGGGTGCCCTCTGGTGCATTTGGTCTGCACTGAGTGGATTGCCAGATAAGATAGAGGACCCGGTTAAATGGGAATTTTGGATAAATAACAAATAATAGCATAAGTATATCCCAAATACTGCATGGGCCATACTTATGCTTAAAAAAAAATCCTTCATTCATTCTTTATCTGAAATTGAAATTTAACTGGACATCCTGTACTTTTATTTGCTAAATTTTGCCCTCTACCCTGATGACAGTGACCTCCTAGAGTTGCCAACAACTCATGTCCATTAAAAGAATAAATTTAAAAGGGCCCTTTTCACGAAGGGGGCCTTTCTCTTTGTTTCTGGAGGGATGTTAGAGGACATTGTGCTCAGATACAGAATCTGGTCAATGTTGACATCCAGAATTAGGGGCTGAATGTGTCTCCCCACCAGTTCCTGTGAAGGCCTAACCCCACCCCGTGTGGCTGTGTTTGGAGATGAGGCCTCTGAGGACATAATTAAGGCCAAATGAGGCTGTAGGGGTGGCGCCCTGAGCCAATAGGAGGAGTGACCTTCGAAGAAGAGACAGCAGAGATCTCGAGCTCTCTCTCCACACGCACAGAAGAAAGGCCTCGCAAGGACGGCGGGAAAACAGCTACCTGCACACTAGAAAGACAGCTCTCACCAGAAACCAACCCTGTGATCTCAGACTTTCCAGCTGCCAGAGCTGTGAGAAAATAAAGTCTGTCCTTCAAGCCGCCCAGTCCGCGTCTTGTTATGGCAGCCTGAGCCGACTAAGGCACCATGGGCACAGTTAGCTTCTCAAGTCTCCACTGAACCTTCCCACAACCACCCTGGGCGGGGGGCGGGGGTGGTGCTGGTATTTCTCCTGGCTCAGAGATACAACTCCCAGGGCCTGGAAAACGGTAGAACAGTGCTCAGCACATAGAAAGAAGTTTTAAAAATATTTAATGAGGGCGCCTGGGTGGCTCACTGTCAAAATAAGTAAATAAAATCTTAAAAAATATATATTTAATGAAGGAAAGTTACCCAGCTGAGGTGGCACCGTGCGTGCGTCTGAGGCCGAGGCGGGACAGTAGCCTTCGGGCTCCTCTCTCTTGGCTGTTTCTGTCTCTAACCCAGGGATGCCGAGTCCCTGAGGATAAGTCCCTTTGCCAGTGTAGGTTTGGATTTCCTCGTCTCTAATCTGGCTTTACTAATTCCCATCCTGATCAGCTCACAGCAGGATGGTGGATGCAACTAGTTGAATGCGGAAAGCTCTCGGAAAACCATAGAGCCCGATCACCTGTGTTCTGAGCCTTACCTGTAAAAGAAAGCAGTGAGAGGCAGACCAGTCTAGGGGATCATTCAAGAGGAGGGTCTGTCCCAGGGACCTTTGCTGTTGTGTCCTTCTGCAGGACAGGGGAGGACGCTGGATGAGCCTGGGGGGAAATGCCCCTTGAGGCCCACGTGCTCTTTGTGGGGTAAAAGCACGGCCTCCCACTGGGTTTCCCATCCCCAGAGAAGCATTTGAATTTGATCTTGGTCCAAACGGCCTCCTCTGTCCTCCGTTCCTTCCTCTGAAGTTCTCTTCCTGATGTTTGAATTTAGAAACCACAGGTTCGGGGACCAAAGAATCACACCCAGAGTGGGTGGCCTAGATCTTGAATTTTAAACAACTGGGGAACTCCCAGAAGTACTTTTGTCTGCCTCAGTGAGCAACAGAAGCTAACTCGGGCTGACTTCAGGTGAATTTATTCAAAATACACAAGGTAGCCTGTGTAATTAAGGAAGAGCTGAAGAGCTGGCCAGAAAGCACAGGGCACGGATAGTCGCAAAGACCTGAGCGACAGGAATGAACAGTGCGTGTGGCCAGGGTGTTGGGGCTGTGATGCACCTGCTCCCACTTTCTTTCTTTCCTTCCCCATCTCATCACCCTCCCAGCTGGTTGTTTTCAGCTGCAGGCAAGAGGTCGTGGCTAAAAATGCCTTAATAATAAAGGTATTTCAGGGGCACCTGGGTGGCTCAGTTGGTTAAGCATCTGCCTTTGGCTCAGGTCATGATCCCGGGGTCCTGGGATCGAGCCCCACATTGGGCTCCCTGCTCAGCAGGGAGCCTGCTTCTCCCTCTGCCTGTGTCTTGCTTCTCCCCTTGCTCATTCTCTCTCTCTGACAAATAAATAAAATCTTTTTTAAAAAAGATATTTCATTGTCTCACGGAACAAGTATTCTGGAGATGAGTGGTCTGGGGTTGATGTCACGGTCTACATCGCTGATTCTTTGGCTGTTCTATCTCAAAATGGCTGCTGCCGCTACAGATTATTCTCCCCCCGGTATTGCAAGCAGGAAGAAGGGTAGTAGAAATAGGGATGTCCCTTTTTATTAAGGAGGCCTCCCATCACCCTTCCCTTTATAATTGGTTGGAACTGGGTCCCACGGCCACCCCTAGCCACAAGGAATGCTGGGAATGTGAGCGTCTGGCGTAAGTCATCAGAAGAGCAGTGACTGGCTTACACCAGGGCTTCATCTCCTGGGGTTGGGCATATTGGTGCACAAAACTAAATCAGGGCTCTGTTAGCCAGGAGGAAGGCGCAGGAGTTCTCATGATTCAGATTCCCTGGAAAGAGAGCCAATGTGCCTAGCTTGGGTCACCATGGCTGAGTCCCGATGCATGACTGAAAGGTACTACTCAAGAAGGAGCGGGATCCTGTGGCTAGAAGAAGGGAGATGAAAGCTGGGTGCCAAAAGGATGTGTCTCTACCTCCCTGTCGTTTGGATTTTCCAGATATCAGAGGGGATTCCAGCCTAGCAAGACTCTGTAATTTGTGGGACCCAGTACAAATAAAAATACAGGAATGCCTTATTCAGAAATTATTATGAATTTCAAGATGGTGGCAGCAGAGCGTGAAACAAATATGGGACTCTTCTGACCACATGTGGTAAGCCTTAGGTAGGGTCTGTTTTTGTATGCAATTGGATGAAATACATTCGTGGATGGTGGGGAAGGCTGTGATCTATAGTTACAATTCATGTATGTCCAGGTGCTTGTGCAAACTCTCAGTTAAAGAGCAAAGAAAGGGGTGATCACACCTCTTCTGTGTGTATACTTGGCCAGAGGCAGAATTCAGGGCAGAGTTCTCAGGGAGCTTCCAATGTACCCCAATCGCGATCATCACTGTGGCCATGTGCAGTACAGTGTATCATCTGTGTCTTCTAGATGAGGTTGTTGGGGCTCAGAGAGGTTCATGGTCATCTGTGGTCCATGGTCAAGCTAGAATTGGAAGCTGGGCAGTCTGAATCCCGAGTCCATGTTCATCAGCACATTACATGATTGGACAAGTCTAACGGAGTTGGGTCATCATAAGCAGTTGGTTTGGTGAGACCAATAGGGTTTGACCAGACGTAAGGGGGCTGTTTTTGAGGGTCTTCGAGTCCTAGGGCCCATGGAGAGCTGTGTCACAAGCAACAGGAATGCAGGATGGATGACAGCCCCAAGGACGTCACTTGCAGATAAGAGGAGCCTGAACCAGGAAACAAACTTAGTTTTCCTCACCAAAGGGTCTGTCACACACGGTCAATTTCTGAAATGAATCCACAAGCCAGGAACATTTGTCTAAACACTTTAATTAAAATGCATTTGTAACAGGATGAAAGCCAGCATCTAAGTACAGTGTTCATGTTTGCTAAGAAGACAGATGAAAGTATTCCCGGTAGCCAAACACATTTTGATAATGAAATTTTACACAGCTTCTTGGTTTTAATCTTATTTAAAATATTTATATAGTTAAAAAAATAGTTTGCTATTCATTTTCTACCACAGTACAGGAAACGTGGAGACATTTGAAATTGGTACAGATTCAAACACATAAGTAAAGATTCTCTTTCAGCGGCAAAATTATAGTGTTCTGAGCTGCGCCACCCGTGCCTTGGTGACTAACCAGTCCAATTCTATTTGGAGAATAACGCTAGCCTCAAGTTCAATTTATCTGCAATCCAACTTTCATGAAAGCATCAAGTTTAATGAAATATCACAGTGAAGTTAAGACACCGCTAATCTCATTTCAAAATCAATTTTCTTTCCGGGACAATTCTTGGGAACCTCAAGAATCTCTCGCTTCATATAATAAGCAGTATATATTCAAGGGTTGATATCTAAAAGAATGAGTGTGTTCATATAGAAAAAAAAAAAGCTTCCTTATAAAATAGGCTCTCACAGCAAAGGGGCCTTTGAAATATTTTGCCATCTACTGCAGGGTAATACGTGAGCTTTATTGATATATCTGAAATCCTTGGCTAAAGATGGAAGCATTCTCTATGCTTGGATCTTAGAATACGTAGTGCAAATACGAGTATGCTAAATGGGGATGGTGAAGACAAAAATTAGCCCAAACTTCCAGACTTCCCCTATTTAAAAACAGTGCTTACTGCATGAAATTATGTATAAGATTTTTGTGTATTGCAGCATTTTTTTTTTTTAACAGCATGAGATTGGAAACATTGCAAATGCCTGTCCATGGAGAGCAATTCAACATTATGGTCCTTGCATACAATGGACCAGATTGCAGGCATGAAAAATCAGCACGCCCTTGATGTACTAAGAAGGGAGGATCTTCTAAATCAAATGAAAAACAACAGCAGCTCTAGTATGTTACCATTTGTGTAAAGAAGAAAAAAGAAGAAGAAAAAAGGAAGGGTACAAGGAACTGATGTAGTGTGGACCACGGAGGTTGGGCACCAGGGGTAGGAGAGATCATTTTACCTGGGTAGCCTTTTGTACCCATGAAAATATGTTATTAGCTATTAAAGTAAATTAATAAAAGCTTTTTAAACGGCTATAATCATGCCGCTCATCATTATATTCAATGTGGTGATTACTCAGATCATGTGGCATGTCATCAACTAGATAAATCTGTTACCCTGGGATTTGGAAATGTTTAGAGCAGCCTGGCAACTCTCATATTGCGTCATTTTTTCACAGGGGAAATGAATGTTCTGCTTTTAGTCTGATGGACAAATACACAACATTTGCAAGCCCTCAAAGGCCCCTGTTGCAGCACGGCAAGGTCCTGTGATTTTATATAAAGTGGGCAGTATCTATTGGAATTACGGGCCTTTTGTGTTCATTGTTGCTGGTGGAAACAAATAGCCCAACACTAGTTTTTGTTGTTAATCACCCACTGCCCCAAGAGCCATTAGGTATGCAAATAAAATCCTCCCAATATTCAGTGACTGAATGACTCCTCCCCACCCCACCCCCCTTTTATCTTGAATCATTACAGCAACATGACTTGATCTGGAGAAACTTCAGGAATGTCAGTGGTGTCAGCTGTGGTTTCTGTCTCCTAGGAGTAATGGAAGTTGCTGCCATCATCTTTATAGCAAGGGTGTCAAAAGCAAGCAAGCATGAACCCCTGCAGACCAGACCTGAGGAACGGGTAGGGGTGCCCAGAATCGCTCACAGTTACCGTGGCCAGTAAGCCCACTTCCATTTTATCTGTTCTGAGATACTGGCATCGGACTGGGAACTGAATCCAGCCTGGGGAAGATCCGTGCTAACCACCCTAACCAGCACAAGATCCCTAAAGCGACTGCCCAGCATGGATCATCAGGTCAGGTGAGCTGTAATTTAGTCAATTTAGTCAAATGTAATTTAGTCATTTAGTTAAATGAACAGCACAACTGTACTTTCTGCTCTCAAGGTTTTTTTTTTTTTTTTAAAAAAGTAACCTCTACACCGAACGTGGGGCTTGCACTCAGGACCCTGAAATCAAGAGTCGTATTCCCCATGGGACTGAGCCAGCCAGGTGCCCCAACTGCTGGCAGGTTTTCTATCCTTGAAATGTGGGAGATGAAATTCAAACATTCAGTAATAACCCTTTAGCCGCCAACAGAGCTTCCCAGGTGTTGGAGCCTCGTTCTCTGCTCTGCCTACAAACTTTTAAAACAGAAAAGAATTTTGTTCTTAAAAATCATAGTTGGGAGAGGTAGGGTTCTCAGGTGACGGTGGGAAATTAGGGACACGAACACTACATTTGTTGACTTAAAGACCAGCCCTGGCAGAAGCCGATGCCCGGGCAGGAATGACGGACTCTCTGTGCCCGGGGAGTCTGGGCCTGCGCAAGCTGGGCGCGGGGCTGGGCACCGGCCTGGGGCGCGGGGAGGACGCGCCTGCACCCGCCCCGCCGGGGAGTGGCGCGCTGGGGGCCGACTCACTCGGCCTCCTTCTCCGCCGGGATCTCCACCGACAGGATCTGCTCACTGGGATCCGGGCCCGGGCTCATGCGGATCCGCACTGAGGGCTCCTTGGGCCTGGCCTCCCCCTCCCCGCCTTCCTCCGGCTTCCCAGGGGAGGCAGGTGGCGGAGAGCACCGGGTCGCAGGTGGCGTAGAGCACGGGGTCGCAGGTGGCGTAGAGCACGGGGTCGCAGGTGGCGGAGAGCACCGGGTCGCAGGTGGCGGAGAGCACCGGGTCGCAGGTGGCGGAGAGCACGGGGTCGCAGGCTCCGGCGTTGCGGGCTGCTCCGGGGCGGCCGGGCCAGCCTCTCCCGCAGCGTCTTGCGAGCTCTTGGCCTGAAATCCGGAAAGGGTGATTGGTGAGGCAAAGAACGTCTGAGAGTTCTTGGAGGGGTCTTGAACACCTTCCCATTCCCCTTCTCAGACCCCCAAGGAGGAGGATGGCAGAGGGCCCAGGGGTGCAATCTAATGGGTGGGAAGTGGGGGATGGGAGCGGCATCAGGATTATTCCGTAGAAACAGAGTACATTATGGAGAGGTTTAGGGATTAAAAGTCCCGGTTGGATTTGGTGGATATTTTCGGTCTCCGTTGATTGGCCAGGCTAGAAACCAAGTGAAGTTGCAGGTTCAAGCCTGCCCCTGAGCTATGGAGAGAGGAGAGGCTGTGACCAGAAGGGAGCGCCAGCGAGGACTTTGCAAAGCTGAGCCAGCTGCCGGGTCCCCCCGGGCTGCCCCGTCCACCCCAGATACCAGGGCTGGATGCTCCTGGGTGAATAGAAACATTCTAAGCAAACAAGATAAAGGCTGAGATGGCAGAAGCAGCCTGGTGCCCTTTCTGGAAGGTCTCAAAGGTGGAGACCCCCACGCCCACCCCCATGCCCCAGGAGAATGGGCAGGGTACCACTGGCATTCGGCTGGGCTGAGCCCCCATGTTTGTGGACTTGGTGGGGACTTCCAGCCTCCAGGCTTCTGGGTTCCTGTGGACACTGGCTGTAGTCTGTGTATCAGTAAAAACCCAAGCCTTTGTGGATACCCGTGGCCTCTCCTGCCCTGTCTGACCCACCTCTGCCTGGACATAAATGGGAGGGAGTGGCCCCCAGAGGAGGAGACCTGAATGGTCCATAGCTATCCGAGACCCACTTGAGATAGTGGTAGTGAATTTAAAATGAGAGCCGTCAACATGCTTCTGAGGAAGAAAGATCCCCTGAAGTTTGCTCAAATCATAGGGTGTTGAAGGAAGGGAAGTGGGGTGGGGAACCCCACTCCTAGAACCCAGGGCAACTCTGGGGACCTGTCCCTCCGTTTCTGTGTTCCTGCATGTTCTAGTGCACCTGTTCTGCCTTTCCCTGTCTGTCCTAAACTATGACAACACACTTCCAGGGCAGGTGCCCATTATGGGACTTCCAGAAGCATCCTGCTATGAACGGAACCAGAAGAATCATGGGGAGGTTGGTCAGGGGCTTTGCCAAGTTCAAAAGGCTTTTAAAAAGATATCCAAGGTATCCTGCTTCATCTCTACATCCCCATGGGGCAACCATGAGTAATCTGGGTCTCAGAATGCATGAGGAGCTTCCCCGGGTCACAGAGCTGGCCGTGACAGAGCTGGGATTTAGACCCGTGTCTTTGGATTGTTATTTCAGAGCTCCTTGCACTCTGCCATTCTGCCCTGATTATTCTGAAATTGCTTTTTATTAGAACTCTCATACAAATTTAATTCACCTCTCCAAGCTGCCTGGGTGGAGAGCTAATACTCAGGAGAAATAAGCCCCATTTCAGATAAAGCCTTTCACCGTCCTGAGAACAGTCTTGGAGTTCATGTACACTTATTTCCACGTAGGAGCCAGCACTAAAACCCCAACTTGCTGGCTCGACCTTGACCCTGGCACTTGGTGAGCCAGGCAATCCTGTCTGTCCTCTGTCTGGGGCCACGGGTGGCTGTATATTGAGAATATCTTGGAACCCTGGGTAGCTTTGATGTCACCTCCCGGACTCGAGATGTCAAACGATCTCCGGATGGGTCCCCTGGACTCTAACACCAGCCTGGATTGAGACTGAGTTCCCTGGGCTCCTTTGAATTCTGTCGTGTAGTCTGCAGCACCCTCCCTGCCACCGAGCTCCTGCCTACCCACCGCCCCCCTTCCTAGCAGGTTCCCTGAAGGACAGTCATGAATAGTCATAATTAGTGCAATCATTCTAATTGGCATTTTCAGCATTAGTCACAGAAAAGAGTCCCAGAACTAATTTTAAAATTCCCTTCAGATTTCCGAGGGCGGGGACAGTTGGCACTGTGCTGGCCGGCAGGGTTTTTTCTCTTCAAGTCTCCTAAATTGTCACAGACACAAAGATTAAATATGAGAACATCACGGCCATCTGGGGAGAGACCTTCCCTGCCCACTGCTCCCACCTCTGCAACAGCACAGACTCCCCTCGGGGAAATGGCCTCCCTCAGCCCAGGGACGGGCATGGGAGCCTGGCCTCCCCCAGGGCTCCACAGTGAATGGCTCTGGAAGTGACACGAGATCCGATTCTGTCCAATGACAGTGAGCCCTGGGACTTTTGCTGGAATCACGGGGCAAGAGAGGCTTCCGGTGGGCATTGCTAAACCAGGAGGTGGCGGTCCTAGTGCTCTTGCGATCTGAAGCCATCCTCGAGGGAAGCGGACATGACAGGATGGCAAAACGAGTCCCATTGGCAATATCTGAGCTTTTGGATCCAGCCTTGCCTAGACTTTGCAGCTACTTGGCCCAATCGATTCCCTGTTCCCTTGAGCTAACTTGAGCTGGCACGGTGACCTGCATTTGTCACTTGCCACCAAAGGCGTCCCGACCGATAGGAAGGAGGGGGAGACATTCCCTGCAATGAAAGGTGCACAGTCCAGGCTCTGGCATGAAGTTGAAATGGGGGGGCGGGTGGCCGGTTCCCCACTGCGTTACCTGTTCCAGCAATTGTTGCTGCCTCGAAGCTGACTCCAGCTCAGCGAGCTCCTTGAGCCGGGCCCTCAGGTGGGCAAGCTTGCCAGCTATGGCCCCCTTGCTGCCCATCTTTCCTGCTGCGGCCAGGGCGGCATTGAAGAGCTTGGGCGTGCCTGCCCGGGGAGGCAGGATGAGCACGCTCTTTGGCTCCCTGGGCTTGTTGTTATTTCTCAGCATGCACCTGAAAGAAAGCAGCACCCGCGCACATCACAAGTGTGCTCTGGGAGAGAAGAAAGGCCCGTCTGTGGCGGACTCTGCTGGAGCTGCGTGCTGGGGCTGGTCGTTCTGGCTAACAGTCTGTGAGCAAGCCCAGTGTTAGGTGCTTTATGCACAGCATCTCAGTGAAGGATCGGAACAACCCCAGTGACATGGGTCTTACTGTCTGGACCTTATAGGTCCACGCCTCAAGAACCAAGGGCAGCCACCAGTCAACAATTAGCTGGGAATGGAGGTCCCCAGTCCTACAACCACAGGGAACTGAATTCGGGTGACCACCATGTGACCTTGGAAGCAGGTCCTTCCCCAGGGGAGACTTGAGATGAGACTCAGCTCTGGCCAGCACCTTGATGATGGCCTTGGAGCAGACCCACCTAAGCCATCCCAGACTTCTGACCCATAGAAACTACCTAACATGTAGTAATATTATTATGCAACAGATAACCGATTCACACTTTGTCATTTAAATCCCACAGAATCCTTACAGGGAGGCCCCTATTTTTCTCCCTCATTTCAAATAAAGATACGGAAGACCAGAAGGGGTAAGTAATTTTCCCAAGGTTACACAGTTAGGAAGTGGTGGGTGCAGAATTAAAACTCAGATCTAAAGGCAGTATGCCACCCTGCTCTGTAAATAAGGCTAGAATCTTCCATCAAACAGAGCCCCAGCCTTTGATAGTGAATTGTTCATGCTACAGATATGTGATGCGTGGTTTGGCTCAAGAACAAATGAATTTCGTCTGCAGTCTAGTGGGCCTGGACTCCTAATTGGCAAATTCATTCATCAGGGCTCCAGCAAAACTTGTTTGTTTAAAAATGAGGACATTATTGGCTGCTTATCTAATCAGAGGCAATGGATTTAAATTGTGCATATTGATATTAATTGGCCAAGACTTGCATTTTCTGGCTGGGGCTCCCCCAGGAGAGCACAAACATGATAATTCATCAGAGGCCTCTTCATGCCTGGCACCATCACCTGTGTTATTCAGTCCATAATTCACAGCACGACAGTCTGTGGGAAAGCTCAGCGTGGTACAAAAATGACACAAAAGAACTCTCTGTGGGACCTGTGCTGATGGCCAATGGCCATCTCTCTTCTGAAACATTGTGCTGGCTTCTGGGACATTGGATTCCAGAGTCAGGAAATTCAGCCTCACTTTCAGATGACATGTTTTCCTATAAGCAGGATCGCACGTTCATCCCTGAAGAGAGTGGCATGCCCCATTTCTTGGAGTGGCCAAGACAGAGAGCTGAGCCCTTCACGTCTCTGGGGCCCCAGGTCCCCGATCTGTAAAGTGAGGAGTTGAGACAGAATCCCACACATGGCTTTCACCAGCTCAGACGTCCCCAGGCCCTGTGGTCCTCAGACCTCATCTTCCCTTTGATGGGCAGAGCTCCCGCATATTTCCCTGCCTCTGTCCTGAAGCTTGCTTATCCAGGGAACCTGGCTCTCTGATGAACCATGCTAGAGCGCTGGCCTCAGGGCCTCTGTGCTGCAGGACCCGGGGGCTCCTCCTCGTTCCTCACCTTCTCCAGCGTCTGGCTGCCAGCTCACCGAGCATGGTCAGCAGCCTCGGCGGGATCCTAGCTGATTTGCCAACCCCTCACCTAACCTAGCCAAAGGAGTGGGTGGTGGCTACAAGCGTGGCTTTCTTGGGCCTTGCTCCTCATGCAGGGGGAGGAAGGGAGGACAGGGAAAACTGGCCCCTGCTCTCAGACAGAAACAGTCGATTCTCAGTATTCGTGGTAGTGTCGTTCTATAGAGTCCCTACAAATCCTGAATTAGCGAATACCGAAACCATTGCTTCTGGCGGAAATACAGTTAGGTTTCTGGTGAGCCTCTCATGACAACATTTCAGCAACTGATCAATACTTGTGTGTGTTTCTGTTTAAAGACATCTGATTTAATATACAGTTGATTCATTGACATCGAACTCACGACCCACAGCTCTATGAGTCATGCCTGAGCGAAGCTTATCTAAGCCACATGTCTTCTCTGTAAGGGACATTCCAGCCTCCTGGCCCTTGGGAACGTACACAGCACCTCAGCACCACACTTTGGGGCCATTTTAAATAGCAAATTTGCCAACGACAATCACAGAATGTGAAAAATGCGGTACTAAATAGACCACGAACAGGCTCTTGTTGTCAAGTGTTCAGATGCTTCTGGGCTGAAACAATAAAGCAGAGCGTCACCTTGGTCAACTTCTGCTGGGAATGTGCACTTAGGGCAACTCAAACTTCTCACTGCTGTCTCTATGCACGTCCGCGTATTACTGGGGATGCCCATGAGTGCTGATTTTGGGGTTCCAATACATTTTAGTGAGTAGCTGAATTGCAGATACAGAATCGCAACTATGTGAATCACGAGGATTGAGAATACTTCCCTGCTCCTCGGGAGAGTCAGGGGAAGTGGGCAGAGTTTGTGGGAGAAGTTCAGACAGATCAGTCTTTGGAAGGGTCCAGTAACTTCCTTAAGAGCAAACAGGTAGGTTGAGTTATGGGGCAGCTTCCTTCCTGTGTGTATTATGCTCTAACCTCAACACAGCATCCACTCACCTGGGGTTGCCAAAGGGATCCTGTGAAAACCTAAGTCACCTCAAGTCACCAGTCTGTGTAAAACCCTACATAGCTTCCATCTCCCTCAGAGCAAAACCCAAAGTCCCTTGCAAGGCTTCACCTACAAGGCCCTGCCCGGTCTCATCCCCTTGATTTCTCCCATCCCGCATCAAGCTACACTTATTTTCTGGCTGGTCTGCACACACACCGAGCCTACTCCCCCACAGAGCCTTTCCACCTGCTGTTTGTTCCCTCTGGCTGGAATGCTCCTCCCTGCAAGCAGTCCCACTCACTCTTTCATTCTGTGCAGGTCTCAGCTGAAATGCCACGTCCTAAGAATGGCTTTTCCTGACCAACCGCTCTCAAGGAACTCCCTCCATCACCTCCGTCTCCTCAATGTGGCTTTTTGTTTCCCTGTAACCCTGTCCCCAGCTGACACACCACAGAATCGTTCATTTCTCCACGGTCGGCCTCCCCTATTAGAATGCCAGCTTTATTTGGTCCCTGCTGTGTCCCCAGGGCCTAGAACTATGCACTCAATAAATGATTGTGCGCGATGAGTGAATGTTGTAAGTTTGTGCCCTTTATCATGACCTCTCTCGGTGCAGTTTATTTATGGTGTCATTTCATAGAATGTGGTAGAAGATAGGAATATGGGGAAAAGGCATGGAGGAAAATCCAGATATGTAGATTTGAAAGGCTTCAACCAATGGGAAAATTACAGAGAGGATTTAATGGATAAAGAGGAACAATTATGATTGTGAATATTCATTGAGCTCTCCCACCTGCTGGTACCCTGCTGGAGACATTCGCACACACGCTATTTTATTTAATTTTCCCAATAACAAAGTAAGGGGTTAAAATACCCTTATTTTACAGAATTGCAGAAAACTGAGACCAGAGAAGTTAAGTAACTTTTCCAAAGCCACACAGCCAGTACTTCACACAGATAGGGTGTGAGCCCCACCAGCTTCCCAAGCCTGCTGTGGATTTTCTACCACAACCAAACTGCCTCTGTCACTCAGCTTGAAACCTGATCCTAAGGGTCAGAAAGCAAAAGCCTGCTTCTCTAAAAAGTTACCCACTCTTCACCAGTACAAAATACAGATGGCACAAGGTTATTCGCTGTGGCACTGTTTATAATTGCAAAATATTAGAACTCTAACTGCCCATTTACAGGAACACTCTGCAACTGTCAGAGGAACAAGGAAACTGATGGGTCTATGGACTGAGAGAGAATGTTTTCCAGGATTGGTTGTCAGGTGAAAAAAAAGCGAAGTGCAAAAGAAAATCTACAGTATGCTACATTTTGTGTAAGACAGGGAAAATAAAATATTCACCGATCTGCCTATTTTTGCAAAAGGAAACACATTAAGGAAGCAGCAGAAACTAATGAGCCTGGGCTCTTGTAGAGCCGGGAGTAACAAGTGGGGGAAGCTGGGACACTTCTCCGGGCACACCATTCTGTTGCATTATGACTTTTGGTACCATGCTAATGCGTGACATATTCAAAACAACAAAAAATCAACAAGGGTTGGGGCAGGAGGAATCATTAAAAAAAAAATGGAGTGCAAACCGAAACACACGAGCCTGGGTACATTTCAGATGAACAAACAACCACACCCAAGGGAGGCAAAAGAAAATGAATCCAATTAACTCTGAACACACACTTACCTCATAGGTACTTAGGCTAAAGACAAAAAGAACAGCACCAAATACTAAATTCTGCTGAGAAGGCTTCCCCACCACCCCAGTGCTTTGAGATAGCAATTCTGAAATCGCTTTGTCTGTATTGTAGGACTGAATAAATGAGTGAATGCAATGAGGGCAAATAGATCCAAATCTCTCAGTGTTGGAGAAGGAATTTACAAATAGGGAAAAGGAGAAGATTTGAAAGAACTCTGTGGTGTTAGACTGAAATTGTTAGATAGATACAGATGGAAAAAAATAGATGTTGAGATATATATACTTATATGAGTGTATATGTATATTTGCATTTGTATATATACGGGGGCATGCAGGTGTGTTTCCCAGGTCTGTCCACTCGGAAGCCTAATAGCACCCTAGTAGCCATGGGCACACATAGTGCTCAGATGTTGGTTTCTAAAAACCATTCCCACCTGCAAGGAATTGGGCTCCTTGGAGAAATGGCCATTCCCAGGGATGTGGCAGGAAAGTCACAAGATGAGCCCGGACGGAGCATCTTATTGCGCTTGTAAGCAAGGAAGTGCTAAAATGGTTTGGGTACATAACAAAGAGCCACAAGGGCCAGCCTAAAGAGGTCCCTGCTGGCTAAATCTGGAACAATTTGAGCATCAAAATAATGATTATAACATTATTATGGAACAAAAGAAATCCACATTGATATAGATAAATGAATAAACAAATACATGGGAGAGAAGAGAAACCTCTTCCTCACAGTAGAATGCTCCTAATAAATGTAGAAGGCATGATGAAATCAGAAAAATCACCATTTTGCAACCATGATGGCAATCACTGATTTAGCAAGGAGCCCTCAGTGGATGCTGAACATAGAGAGTGAAGGTTTGATGGGAAACAGGAAGTCTAGATAGCCTCAGACTGACTCCCTGCTAATTACTTATTAATTACAAGGAGAAAAATGTTAACTTCGGCATGCAAAAACCTAAACCAAGTGATCAAAGGGAAAATCATCAATACTAGGAGAAGCCAGCATCCCGTGCCTCTCGGTATGCTGTACTAAGAAGAACACAACATCACTTTTTTTTTTAAAAAAAAAGTAGGCTCCATGCCCAGTGTGGGTCTTGAACTCACAACCCTGAGATCAAGAGTCACATGCCCTACAGACGGAGCCAGCCAGGTGCCCCCCCAACATCACTTCTGAGAAATTCCTGCCCCCATGCAGAACCTGAAGGTAATCATGAGAAAACATCAGAACATCAGCTAACCCTAAGTGAAGGGACATTCTACAAAATAACTGGCCTGTCCTCTTCAAAGAAATCCAAGTCACTGAAGTTGGAAAAAGGTTGAGGTGCCATCCCAGATCCAAGGAGACTGAAGATATGAGGCTATGTAATGAAACAGGGGGTCCTACACTGGATCCAGGAATGGAAAAGAAGACAGGAAAGGCTATAAAAGGCATGATTGGGACAACTGGCCAAATTTGAAGATGGATTGGGAATAATAGCATGATTTCCATACTGAATTTCCTGACTGTGACAAAGGTACTATGGTCGGTAAGATAAAGGTTTAGTCCTTAAGAAATGTGCACTGAGGGGCGCCTGGGTGGCTCAGGTGTTAAGCGTCTGCCTTCGGCTCAGGTCATGATCCCAGGGTCCTGGGATCGAGCCCCACATCGGGCTCCTTGCTCGGCGGGAAGCCTGCTCCTCCCTCCCCCGCGCCCCCTGCTTGTGTTCCCTCTCTCGCTGTGTCTTTCTCTGTCAAATAAACGAATAAAATCTTAAAAAAAAAAAAAAAAGAACATGTATCACATGACCTCACTGATATGAGGAATTCTTAATCTCAGGAAACAAACTGAGTGTTACTGGAGTGGTGGGGGGTGGGAGGGAGGGGGTGGCTGGGTGATAGACATTGGGGAGGGTATGTGCTACGGTGAGCGCTGTGAATTGTGCAAGACTGTTGAATCACAGATCTGTACTTCTGAAACAAATAACGCAACATATTTTAAGAAAAAAGAAAAAGAAGATAACAGGAGAGGAAGAAAAGGGGAGTAAGTCAGAGGGGGAGACGAACCATGAGAGATGATGGACTCTGAAAAACAAACTGAGGGTTCTAGAGGGGAGGGGGGAGGGGGATGGGTTAGCCTGGTGATGGGTATTGAGGAGGGCACGTTCTGCATGGAGCACTGGGTGTTATGCACAAACAATGAATCATGGAACACTGCATCAAAAACTAATGATGTAATATATGGTGATTAACATAACAATAAAAAAATAAAAAAAAAAAGAAATGTGCACTGACATATATGTGGATTTTTTTTTTTTTAATAAAAAAAACGTACCTGGCCTTCTTCCGGAGTAACTTCTGAGACTCGGGATAATGCACCAAAATTTCATTGAGGTCCTTCTTGTCCAGAATGAAGAGGTTGGTAAACCCGTGGGCGACCACATTGGCCGTGCGCCGATTCCCGCCCCCAACGGCCAGCAAGCTGGGATGGGGAAGGGAGGTGAGACCTGGCAGGCTGGGGTTGGGATCCCACTAAAATGTCCCTTTCCACCCCTTGCCCGGAGCACAGTGGCGGCCCCACACGGGCGAGAGCCGAGGCCCACCCTGCATATGTCAGCATCCACAGCGGCTTACTCAGACCCACCAAAGGGCCCTTGAGGATGAGGTTGTCCCCTCTCCCACTGGCACCCCCCCCCAGCTTGGGCCCAGGTCCGCTCATTTCACCCCAGCTCCCCAATGACCTTATTTCTCCAAACACGGATCCAGGCTTCAGTGTCACCAGCACAGCCTTCCCGTCGGGGCCACCCAAGACCTGCACCTGTCCTGCCTGGATGATGTACATTTCTCGGCCTATCTCCCCCTGAAACAGAGAAGGGGTGAGCCCCCTGCTGTCGCCAAAAGTGACCACAAAGGCGGCAGGGCTGGGCCCAGAGGCTGCTGGCACAGCACGGAGCAACCTGGGCTGGTATCCAGCCCACCACCGACTCGGTGTGTGGTGTGGAGCCAGTCACTTCCCCTCTGGGGCCCCAGTCTCCCCATCTGTGGCTTGGGGAGAGTGGCCACCCCTGGCCTGCCTAACTGACAGGATTCTGTGGGGAGTTAGGGGTGTGATGGAGAGGAAAGTACTAGGTAAGGTAGAAGGCACAGCTGTAATGGCATTTTGGAAATTCCCAATTATGCACGCCAGTGGAGGGTCGGGGGCGTGGAAAAAATTAACAATGGTTCATACAATACATTGATACCTGTGCCTAGCACATGTCACTTCAGGAGCTCGGTAAGCGTTTGCTAGCTGAAACAGGAGTGGTGACAACATTGGTAATGAAGTCCAGCTGTTGTGTGACATTTTTCTGTGCGAGGCATTGCTCTAAGTGCTGGGCCTGCTTAATCCTCCACAGCTCCGGGGTAAGAACTCTTTGCCCCAGGTCGCAAAGCTAGGCCACGGGAGAGCAGGGATTTGAGCCCAGACAGTCTGGTTCCAGACCTCATGGTTGCTGTGGGTTGAACGCTGTCCCTCCCAAACCCATATGTTGAAGTCCTCATCCCCAGGTGCTCAGAATGTGACCTTCTTTGGAAATAGGGTCACTGCAGATGTCATTCGTTAAATTAAGATGAGGTTGTACTGGAGTTGGGTGAGCCCCTAATCCAATATGACTGGTGTCCCTATTAAAGGGACATTTGGACACAGAGATGGGCATAGCAAGAAGACGAGATAAAGTGACACAGGGAGAGGACAGCCATCCATACGCCAAGGGGAGAGGAGCAGATCCTTCCCTCACAGCCCCGAGAAGGAACCGACCCTACCGACACCTTGATCTTGGACTTCCAGCCTCCAGAACTGAGAGACAATGCATTGCTGTTGCTTAAGCTGCCCAGGCTCTGGTCCTTATTTAGAGCAGCTGTAGCAGACTAATGCAATGGTCTTAAATCCCCAGTTAAAGCAAACGAACGAATGAATGAATGCATGCATGAATAGCTTGCTTTGGACTGCAATCAGAAATACCCAGTCTGGGGCGCCTGGGTGGCTCAGTCGGTTAAGCATCTGCCTTTGGCTCAGGTCATGATCCCAGGGTCCTGGGACTGAGCCCCACATCTCACTCCTGCTCAACAGGGAGTCTGCTTCTCCCTCTCCTTCTGCCGCTTGCTCATGCCTTCTCTCTCACTCTTTCTTTTAAAAATAAATAAAATGAAATAAATAAAAATTTTTAAATAAATAAATGAGATCTTTTAAAAAAGAAAAAAAAAATACCCAGTCTGCCATGCACCTTCCAATCCTCATGCCCTCACAAGCCCCCGGCTCCCTGTCCATCACATCTGGCATGTTTATGTTTTTGTTTTTTTTAAGATTTTATTTATCTATTTGACACAGACTGAGAGATAGTGAGAGAGAGAGCACAAGCAGGGGGAGTGGCAGGCAGAGGGAGAGGGAGAAGCAGGCTCCCCCCTAAGCAAAGAGCCCCAAGCAAGGATCCCGATGCAGGGACTGGATCCCAGGACCCTGGGATCATGACCTGAGCCAAAGGCAGCCGCTTAACCAACTGAGCCACCCAGGCGCCCCATATCTGGCATGTTTAAAAGGAGAAGAGCAAGGATAGGTAAATTGATGACTCTGGATTCATTCAACAAAAGTTTCCTGGGCACTTCACAGAGGCATGAGCTTCTTAACAGACAGGAAGAAAGTTCCATGGCCCTGTTTCTGTGTCCAATTTGACACGGGGCTGAAGGGTCTAGAGAACTCACCCTTGCCTCACTAACCAGCCTTGGGGTGGGCAGCGGGGGGCATCCCAAGGGTGTCTGAGCAAGATCATCGCTGCGCAAAACTGGACAGCAGAGGGCGCCATTCACACTTGCTCATCAAGGGCTCACTTCAACGTCCCCCTGCCAACTCCCACCAACTGGTTCAGTCTTCCTCATTTGCCAGCAAGTTCTACATACCCCCAGGGATAATAAGAGCAGCAATGGCACCTGACTCTGTAGGCACAGCTGATTCAGTTTTCACAACCACCCCATGAGGAAGTACCGGCAACATCCCTACTTTACCCATGAGAAGAGACTCAGAGAGGGCAAGCCACTGCCCCAAGGCTGCACAGCGAGGAAAGAGCCCCAGTGTCAGACAAATCATTCTATTGCTCCTAAACCCCTCTTGGCCTCTAGGACTGCAGCTTTAAGTTTTCAATCATCTGTAGCCTTGTTTCCCCATTTCTCTGGGCTCTCTGCTTCTAGAAACTTCGCTGCTATATAGCATACAACTTGGAGATGGGGGCCTTCTTGGGCTGAACTTTCCTGAGTCTCACAGGGGTTGCTTGGGCATTATTTTCACCCCTGTACACACACCCAGCCTCAACAGCTCAGTAACAAGGGGACTGAAATCTGAGTTCTTGACGTTCTGCCCAAACTACTCACTCCAGGTGACCCTGGTCTCACCTTGCATCCCAGGGAATGGGAGCAGAAAGGGCCCTCGACACTTTGTAGCCCCAGGTTCAAATGCACATATTTTCCAGGATCAGACGGGCGGTTTAAGGACTGAAGGGAGCCTGGTATGGGGCAGTGGGGAGGGGTGGGGCCTGCGGCATCAGGAGGGAGGGCGACGTCCCCCTTCAGGGGCAGCACCTTCTCCACCCCAGCTGACTCTTGCTATTTCGGAAAGTGGAGCTCTGTTTTCAACCAGAAATCTGGATTTTTATGTGAAACCTTCAAATTTTTAAAGGCTGGGGACTACTTCAACATTTTTTTTAAGATTAGGGGGAAAAAAAACCACCTAAAAAACCATGAAACAGTGTATGGGCTGGCCCCTATGCAAAGGCCATCGGTTTGCAACCTCTGACCTAACCCAGCCCTTCCTCTGCTCCATTTTCCTGATAGAAAGACCAAGACCCTGGAAACAGTTCCATCAACACAGTCAAGGCCCCACCTCTCACGAGGCTCCTCACTTTCCTCTTCTGGAAAGTGGGGCTCCTCGCCCTGGCTCCCCTGGTCCTGTGTCAAGGGAACAAAGCCTGATGGCACACCGGAGTGCAATGCCTGGAGCTGGACAAAAGCTCCTTGTGCCAAACAAGCCGGGAGCCCTGGGGGCAACTCATGGGTGCAACATCTCCTCTCCCTCTGCAGCAAGTCTGCTCTCCCTGGGCTTGCCCTCCTGGGCCTTCAGAGGCACCCGCTTCAGCCCAGCTCCTGGCCGGCAGGTGTGCTGTAAATCCCAGATGGCCTTGCAGCTGCCTGGGGCTACCCACCTTCTTGCACACGTAGTCGTTGGGCAGGTAGACGACAGAACGGAGCCTCTTCAGCATGTCAAAGATCAACTGTCGGTCACAGCCCTGTCCCCAAGAGGAGGGGGAAAGAATGCCCGTTTAGAGGAGGGTGGGGGCTTGGGGCTCCCCAGAACCCCTGGGGGGCGGAGGTGCTGGGTGGGCTGTACCTGGAAGAGAGCCACTTTGCTGACGATGTTATAGTTGACATCGATGGCAAGGTCCAAACGCATCTTGTCTGGAAGCTGCACCATCAGTTCTGACTCATCTGCAAAGGAGACACTGACAATGATCAGAGGCACATCCCGGCCTCCATCCCCCGCCCCTACACATGCACACATGGGGCCCTGGCCACACCATTCCTCTGCCCCTCCAGAGCCACACAGTATTGCGAGAGTCCCCCCATCTGGGCTTTTCGGATGCTATTCCCTCTGCCAGGGAAAACCCTCATGTACGTCCCTGGTTAACTTCTACCCATTCTTCAGAACCCAGTACTAATGTCACCTCCTCCAGGAAGCCTTCCTTTGAGATCCCTGCACCAGCTATTAGGTTCAGCAGTCTCTGCACTATGTAGCGCTGATCACACCCCTTATGGCAATGGTCTGTCCGTGCTAGTCTGCGCTTCTCACACTATAAGAATGTCAGCAGGGACTAGAGTATATCGAACACTGTTTTTACAGAGTGCTTTACAAAGATGATTGTATTAAATCCTCCCAACAACCCGACAGGTGCCCACTACTATAATGCCCACTTTACAGAAAGGGAGGCTCGGGAGGGCAGGGACTTGCCCATAGCCTCGCAGCCCAAGGGGAATGGAGTCAGTATCCCACCCGGGCCGTGGGGCTCCAGGGCCTGTCCCAGAAGAGCAGGGGCTGAGTCTGTTTTGTCCATGATGGGGTCTGCAGTGCCCAGCAGAGAGCCTGGCATGGAATGAATGTCGGTACTAGGGACAGGAAATGCACTAACTTGACCCCCAATCCCAATGCCCCTCCCACTGCACCACAATCATTTATGGGCTCAAGAGTGGACCTGCATGACCCTGGGCAGGTGGAAGCCCTCTCTGGTCCTTCATGCGTGCCTCTGTGGAAGGGGGCAATGATTCAGATGTCACAGGGCTGTCCCTGGAATGGAATGAGGTGATGGCTGAGGGACCATGCCTTGTACAGAGTGAGTGAGCCAGCAAAGGATACCAAAGACGCCTCAACCCCTCGGCTGTCCACAGTTGTGACAACACCCTCAGCTCAGGAGAACTTGGAGCTGAAGTGTGGCTTCTTCAAGGCCAGAGGGAAGCCCGTGGAAGCAGGGGGCCCTTGAATTAGCTGAGAGCATTGAGGGGTCCTAAGACACAGTGCCAGTGGCCCCCGGCTTGTCAGGGGCCCCCCGAATGATGTCTAAGTTCTGAAAACAAAAGTACTAGCTCCCAAAGATAAAAAAAGAGAGAGACTGGGGGCGGGGGGGGGGCGGAAATCGTGACTTAATTAACATATAAGTAGTATGTTCACATTTCATTAAGGGTTCCATTTAGAATTCAGGAAAACATGACTACATTTGAAAACAGTGCACAAGTAAGATTCTCCCACTTCACAGGAATCACTGAGCGCATCCCACCATTGACAAGGAAGCAGAAACAGTGGGGAGTTAAACGCATTGTTGCGGCCAAAGAATTTCAGAAGAAAAGCATCACATCAACAAATTTACAAAAAGTTTATGTGTATGGGCACGTGGGTGGCTCAGTCGGTTAAGCGTCTGCCTTCGGCTCAGGTCATGATCCCGGGGTCCCGGGATCGAGTCCCACATCGGGCTCCCTGCTCAGTGGGGAGTCTGCTTCTCCCTCTGCCTGCCACTCTCCTGCTTGTGTTCTCTCTCCCTCTCTCAAATAAATAAATAAATAAGATCTTTAAATATATGTGTGTGTGTATGTATGTTTACGGAAAGAGAAGGAGAGAGAGGGTCTTCCTTCTGTCCTGATTTCAGCCGTACTTCCATCTCTGATGGGGATGCATTTCAAGGCAGGGGAAGGGAGGGGAGGCAGGGAGTCCAGAAGACAAGGCTCTCAAGCCTTCAGGGGTCTCCTGACGGCCCAGCTTGGGGCACCGCATGGGCCTCCCTGGGTGCCCCTCACTTGAATATGTTGGGGCCACAGCCAAGAGGCCCCAGTGCTCAGGACCTCAGGGACATGGGTCAGAGGCAGGGCCCTGGGAGGAGGGGCCAGGGGATAGCTGGTGGCAGCCGCAGCACCTGTCTTACCCAGCATGCCTTGGGACTGCCAGGTGTACTCGTACCAGGTCTTGACCCGGTTCTGCACGGAACTGGGGATCTTGTAGAAGTTCATGTACTTCACGGTGTTGTCCATGCAGCTGCGGTAGTAGGCCTGCCCAGCTGTGGCGGCCCCCACCACGTCTCTCATCTAGGCTCAAGGAGGAAGAGTCAAAGGGCAGAGTGGGGCTTTGGGGGGGGTTGTGTCACAAGCACGTGTACTCTATTCGGACTAGGGGTGTGCGAGGGAGGGGGGTCAGGAGAGAGGGAGACCCACGTCCACACACAGAGAAGGTTGCCGATGGGAGAAAAATTCTGCCCCCAGGGTGGACACGGGACGGGAGGAGTGAGGCTGCTGAGCGCAGCCACCCACGAGGAGGAAATGCCTCGCTGGGCTGGGCTGCTTCTGGTACGACCTGGCCCCTCGGTGCCAGAGGCCACTTTGACCTCACTGGAGGAAATGTGAAGCCGGTAGCGCTCCTCGGGGCAGGACCCAATTCTGAGGCCACCTGACTGGCCTCATGCATTGATTAGAATAGGACATGCATCCCTGCACATTAGACACCCCCAGGGGTTTCTCTCCGAGGGAACAGCCCAAATCCCCAGCCTTTGCAGAAAGCCATTCAGCCCAGCTCTCCAAAGACATCCCAGAGGGACCCACTTTCCAGTGGAAGCAACCGTAGAGAAGAATGGGACCTAGACCTCCACCCCCACCCCCTTCACCCAGCAGGTCCCAGAGCTCCAGGCTCCTGAGTCCAGGTCCCGTGGTGTTTCCTGGACTTAGTCCGAAACGAATGGCCACAGATGATGACATTTCTGGCAGCAGTGGGAGGGAGGGGGTCCTGCAGGCAGGTGGGTGGCAAGTCAGACTAGTGACCCAGCTACCTGTCCGATCATCACAGAGAAAGCAAAGACACCCGTGAAATAGTTCAGCCCCTGGAAGACGATTTCAAAGAGCGTTCTGGGGTCAGGCAGCCCACCAATGGTGATGAGGGTCTTCACAGCCCAGTAGTAACAGCGAATGTAACTAGAGAGAGAATAGGAAAGAGACTTCGGTCAGCAAAGCCCCCCCCCCCCCTTGCTGAGCCTGGGTGGCCTGGCTCTAACAGATGTGCAATATGCACATCTGTTTCTACATGCAAGGAAAACAGCCTCACCCCCACAGAGCATGCGGTTTGCAGAGTGTATTCATAGATGCAGAGGCACGTTGTCACCTCCATTTACAGATGTGGAAACTGAGGCTCCAGGAGATTGCTAGAAAGACTTGGCAGGAGGGAAGACCAGGGTTTTCTGACTTCTGATGTCTGGGATCCCTCAATATTCTTTCAATTTCCACTAACTTCCCTTTGTCATCCCGCCATGTTGGTTCACGGAAAGCAAGAGTGACACTGAACTTGGAAGATATCTCGAGGACTACGTTTTCTGACCCTCTCCCTTGCCCAGACCTTTTCCAGACAGGGAAACTGAGGCCCCAGAAGGCAAAGGAAACACTCATGGTCACCAGTGGGCTAGGTCCAGAGCTGGGATTAGAATTTAGTCTGTCATCTGCTTCTCTTGAGTTGTCACCCACAGTTGGTAATGTCGCTCCACGGGCGCATGAACCAGGGAAGGGAGGTATGGGCCCAGGAGGTGCCCCGAGCTCATCTCATTATCACAGAGAAGTAAGAGCCCCTCACACATCTGTTCGCTCCTTGAGGCTGGGCCCTCCCAGGGGTCAGCAATGAGTGAGGTCACCAGGGCTCGACGACAGGACAATCCCAGCTGGCTTTCCTGTGCCTTCCTGTCTTCCTACCTGGGCACGCAGGAGGCGTCCAGAGCCTGCCCTGGCCCCAGTGTCCTGATGCACCCGCACTTCTGAGGTCCTTGCTCAGCTCCAAAATCAAGACCATCATCCAGCTGGCAGATCATCTAGTCTGGGGATGACCCCAAGCGGGCCCTCGCCTGGGCTCTGGTCACCACTATTTATGCAGAGTCATAGTTAGCACACGTGATCTGGACTGGACTGCCTGGGCTCAAACCCAGCTCTGTCACTTCGTCACCGCCTAACGTGGACAAATTACTAATCTCAGCAAGCCTCGGCTTCTTTCTCCTAAAAGGGACACGGCAGCAGCACATCCTTCACGGGGAATCACAAGGACAAAATGCGGCACTAGAAGAACGCCTGGGACGTGACGGGCTCTCAGTCAATGTCAGCTACCAGAGCCTTCTCTGTCGCTGGTACCGGCCACGTGCCCCCAGTTAGGGAACAACAGGCTCACCCGTGTCCCCAAGAAGCTCACCGTCTAGTGGGGACAGGCAAGAAATCGTGCAGAGAGCACTGGGAGGGGGAGGCAGAGGTTGGTGGGGCTCTGCCTCTAACTACTGGGGCTGGCAGCTGGACCACCCTGCACCTCATTCCCACCTGGTGCCTGGAAACCTCAGGACAACGCGGGCCTCCCCCACAGAGCCCCCCATCATACTGTTCCTGGCCACCAGAGGGCGTGCAAAGCAGACTGAAGCAGGGACGGAGCTGAGCGCTGTCTGGGAGCGGAGTGGGTGCTCCTGGACTCCCAACAGAAAGGCGACAGGAACAATGACCCCAAACCTTCCCCCAAACTCCTTCTGATTGGAGATATTCTATTGGCATGGCACGTCTTAGGGGCCTCCCTGAAGTCCTCGTGTCTTCCATGCTCCTGGGCCTGTGGGGACCCCCCCGCACGCTCCAGGCCAGGAAGAAGCAGAACAGCGCGAGGGATCCAGGTACGTGGGAACTTGGGTCCTCAAGCCCTGGGCCAGAGCAGACACTCAACAAATGGTCACTATTTTGAAAGTGATTATTACCCGTGATATTGGACTTCTGGGTGGATCCTTCACTCTTTGTGCTTTTTTGCACGTATTGGGGGTTCCCTGCAGGATCTTCGTCTGGAGAAGAATAAGACTGCTAAGACAGCGTCCCCCTTCCAAGTTGCTGCAGAAGGAAGTCCCTGCCCTCCCCTTCCCTGCTTGCCCTTCCACCGCGGGCCTGCCCGTGATGGGTGTGCCAGGCCCAGTCCTGGGACCTGGGTTCTCAGCTTCTTGGGGCACAAACCCCTTTGAGAATCTAAGGAAAGCTAGCAAACTTCCCCTTAGGGAGGCCAGTGTGTCCTCAAAATTTAGCTCCACTGGGGCGCCTGGATGGCTCAGTTGTTAAGCGTCTGCCTTCGGCTCAGGTCAGGATCCCAGGGTCCTGGGATCGAGCCCCGCATCGGGCTCCCTGCTCCTTGGGAAGCCTGCTTCTCCCTCTGCCCCTCCCCCTGCTTGTGTTTCCTCTCTCGCTGTCTCTCCCTCTGTCAAATAAATAAATAAAATCTTAAAAAAAAAAATTTAGCTCCACTTTCCAGGAGGGTGGTGGTGGGACCCCCGTACGTCTCTGGATCCCGGCTTAGGAACCCCTCTCCTGGTACGCTGGCTTCCCCATAAGAATGACCACAGCTAGGACATGGTCACTGACTCCTGTCCACATGCTACACACAGGAGTTTCTCATTCCTCACAAGAAATCTGAATGTAATACTATGCTCAGGCTGTAGAGGAGAAACTAAGTCTCAGAAAGGGGAAGGGCCTCAGCCAAGGTCACAGAGCAAGTTTTAATGAATACCTTCTGTGCGTCCCTTCCGGGGATTCCTGTCCCTTAAGCCTGTGCCCTGGCTCTCCAGGCTCACAGCCCCGACCTGGACCCCAGGTGCTTCTGCTGCCCTTCCCGCACCGCCCTCCCTCCCCCTGACCACACCAACCCTTCGGTCTGTCGCTCCCCCAACCGGTTCCTTGGCTTCCCCCCATCCCTCCAACCCCTCCTTCCCTCAGCCATCACCAGCAGAGTCATCTTTCTGAGATCCCTCTAGGTCCTGTCATCTTCCTCCTTCCAAGGTTTCGAGGCAAGAGGTCAGAGGGGAGCTGGGTTATCTTTCCATACCCATCCGACCTTTAAAACTATGGCAGCCTATGGGAACGCCCTGTAATTTCCCACCTACTCTTCTGGAAACCGAGAACTGCTCTAAAAAAAATAGTGTACTAATGACAATAATAATAATTTTTTTTTTAAATCTTAAAAATGTTCAGATCCTTGGCCAGGCCATCGCCCTTTAGGAATTTATCGTGAGGAAACAATCAGGCCAGAGGACAAAGATTCAGATACAAAGATGTTCACTGCAGTGTCACGCGTCAGACTGAGGAACTGGAAACCCCTCAGTGCCCAGGGATGAGGCCATAATTAAATAAACACTGGCCTCTCTGCACGGGGAGGGCATCAGTATCGTGGGTTTTTTTTTTAAATTAATAATAGGCAAATATGCACGATATCATCTTATTCTATATCCCTGTGGGTGACCTATTTTTCCACATTTTCACATTTCTAACATTGGGATGGATCTTACAATCTATGTGTCCATTTATTGTAATATTTCTTTTTTTTCCCAAAAAGCTGCATTGACTCAATGCGTCATAGAAGGAACTGCATCTTAGAAGCGAAGAAATATAGTGAAGAATGTTTCTGATCCTTCTTCAGTAATCAGAATAAATAGATATGAAACAAAGAACAGCAAAAAAGAACCCCGTACTGGCTCCCCATTGCCTAGAACAACGCTGTTATCCCATAAAAATATGATGCGACCCACCTACATAATTTAAAATCTTCTAGTTGCTACATTTTCACAGTCAAAAGAAACGGGTGAAATTAATCTCAAAAACAATCATTTTTTTTAGTGACCCAAAATATCAACATTAATATCATTTCAACACATAACCAATATTTTAGGCGTCAGTAATAAGGCAGTTGGCATGTTTCTTCATATCTTCTGAACCTGTATTTCACAGCTCAGTCACGCTGCGTCTCAAGCACTTGGTGGCCCCCTGTAGCTAGCGGCCACGTTATTGGATAGTCCCCCGCCACCCCCCAAGATGGCTCCCAGAGCCCTGACTCCGCCATTTTGCAACTCCGCGCCTTTCTTCCGGCTGCTCCCTCCCCCAGAGCTTTCTCTGTCCCTTCTCTCCACCTACCAAGGCCAAAATCAAACGTGGCTTTTTGGAATTGACCTTCCAGTGCCACCTTCCCCACACCTCTCCAGCACCAGGCAGAGGTTATGCTGGTTAAGAATGCAGCCCCGGGCTCAAATCCCAGCTCCGGAACTTATGGGCCAACTGTGTGACCCTGGGAAGTGACTTCCCATCTGTTATCTCCTCTATACAATGGGAATGATGATAGTGCCTATCTCGAGTGATGACTGGAAGGATTAAGTTACTATGTTAAGTAGTTAAAGCAGGGCTAGTTACAGAATAAGCGTTCTCTGCTCTAAGTGCTTGCGGCTATGATTAGTAGTAGTACCACTGCCGTTGTCATTACTAGAGCCTGTGCACAACGTATGGCAGCTGTCTGGATTGGCCACTAGGTTTCACCTCGTTTTCCAGCTCCCGCATGGCTAGTGATGCCCAGGGAGCTATGCTGAGAGTGTGCTCTGGCCTCCTTCCCACTTGGCCGTGTCCACGGGGTAGAGGAGTGGAGGCACATGGGAAGCGAATGTGCCAACTCTACTAGGCTTTAGGAGGCTGAAAGGATCTTTCTAGCAAGTCTTGTTCCTGTCTGTGCCCCTCCGTGCCTGGTACACGGCGGGTGCTCAGGAAATGTTAGCTCAGTGAGGACACGGAGACACGGTCCTCAGCCTTCCTCATGTCAGTGGTTCCGTGGGAGCGAGGCAGCCTCAACAACATGCGGTGGCAATGGTATCTCTTTCTGGGACTCTCAGTGAATTATAGCCCCAGGAAGAGAGTGTGGCTCACCTGTTTCCCATGCCATCGTAAACCCAGTGAGTGGAGCCGATGCCCTGATAGGCTGACGCCCAGTAATACAGACATGAGTTCACATGTAGGCTGTAGAGCAGGTAAGCCGTGGTCCTGATCACCCTGCAGAAGAAGGAAACGCATGAACAGAGCGGCAGGGAGGGTGGCCATGACTTCTCACCCCAAGGGTTGGAACTGCAGGGAACAAGCCCACCTTCACCTCCCCTGACGCCCGCCTTGGACATGCCCCTGGTGGAGCGTCACAGCCCTGCCCCGCTGCCTGGCAGGATGGACACCTGGCAGACACCTGGCAGGATGGACTGGGCCAACCGCATGCTCTGCGGAGACTTCGCCAGCTAGGGACGGTGGCGTGTGAACAGCGAGTTGTCCAGGCCAGGGGCTGGGAGGGCCCTGAGTTCCATGTGCAGACAGTGCTGGGGCAGTGAAGGACAGGAAAGGTCAGCAGAGGCTGTATCCTTGGAGAGGGCCGCGGAAGGGACGGACGCGTGCAGGGAAGGGTCCCTCTGTGAGTGACATGGGGAAGCTTTGTCCCTGCATGTGGCCCGGCTGGGCTTGTGCCCCACTCTCCGACATCAAGAGATGGCCCACTGTCCTTACAAACACCCCCCCCCCACCGTGTTCGAGCTGGATTGAGGGGCCCAGTTCCCTGCGCTGAGATCAAAATGACACCCGGCTCCCTGGAAATAGCGGTGAGCCATGCATACGAACCTCTGTATGCCCTCCTCACAATTGGGGGAAATGGGACATTCCTGGCTCTCTAAAAAAACAACATCCCTTCAGAGGAGGGCCAGGAAGAGGCCTGGCTTCCGGTAGCACTGGGGCCCGCAGGGCCAGAGGAACTTGAAAGGGGAAGAAATAGGAGTAGAGAACGCCTTGCTCCGTTGTTGCTGCGAACGGCCCATGGCGTGTGTGCGTGTGTGTCTCACCTGTAAATATAGGCTTTGCTGAGGATGGATTCCAGGCGGCTGTTAAACTCGAAGAAGGCCAGGTACTGGGAGGAAGAGCAAAGCATCAGGACAGCCCGCCGTCGGTGGGGTGGGGCGCTACCCTCCCCTGTCCCCCAGCGCGAGGCCTCTTTCTGCAGCGCCCCCCAGAGGAGGCTGGACAGTGAGCATTCAACATCAGAGGTCCATAGCCCTCTGAGGGGTGGGGGCCAGAAACTCCATTTACGAATCCGCAGGAAACCGTGACCCCTCTTCCCATAGAAATTACACGTAGTCCTGTTCTCACAGTTTGCCGATGTGTAAGGCGACTCCTTAGACCTCTCGAAGCCTATCATGACATTTTCAGGGGTACACACATCTCAGGTTAAGGACCCTGTTTGCAACGTTTACTTATAAAGGAAACCATTTTATAAAGAAACAGCATCCCTACCACCCCTTACATACATCCTTCAAAGGCTTGTCTATAATAATAAAAGTATAATAGCTGCTCTTCTTTACTGAACACCTTTGATGACCACACTTTATATTCATTACCTTCTTGCTTATTTACACGCGAGGTGCATGGTAGCATTCTCCTTTTACAGAGAGGACATTGGCACTTCGTGATGTTGAGTCACCCGCTCAAAGCACACAGCTGCTAAGTGACTGAGGCAGGATTTGAACCCAGAGCATATTCAGAGCGGCAACACACCGCACACGTGTTGTTGGACATTGGAGAATGACTGTGAGGGAAGTTCCCCGAGCCATGGGCTGGTCGTCCTCCACGGGGTCCTTCTGAAGTCCCTCCAGGGTTTATATCGGATGCAGGGGGCTGTGGGCTTGGATCTCCCTCCCCTGAGGCTCAGAGTTGTGTCCTGAGTCGCGCTGAACACCAGATACGGATTCCATTGCTCTGGGGGGCGGGGGGAGGCTGTAAAACTCGGCTTGTGGGTCCACAATTGGTCTGCCAGGAAAACCCATTTGAGGGATCCCAAGTGCTCTGACTGGCTGTCGACCCTGGTCACATTACAAGGATCACTGCCTGGTCTCTCTTTTACCCTGTGTCACCTTCACGGGGACACTGGCTCTGCCCCAGCGGCAGGAAAGATAGCTGTCATGACACTGAGCAACAACCAACAATGAGAACAGGTATTGGGCTGCACGACCAAATCTATCCCGGGTACTTCCTGGCTCCTGTGACCTTGGGCAAGTCACCCAAGCTTTTCAAGCCTCCGCGTCCCCATCTTTTATTTATTTATTTATTTTTAAAAAGTTCCTTCTTTTATTTTTTTTTAAAGATCTATTTATTTATTTTGAGAGAGTGAGAATGAGAGAGAGAGAGAGAGCACATGAGAGGGGGGAGGGTCAGAGGGAGAAGCAGACTCCCCGCGGAGCAGGGAGCCTGATGCGGGACTCGATCCCGGGACTCCAGGGTCATGACCTGAGCCGAAGGCAGTTGCTTAACCAACTGAGCCACCCAGGCGCCCCGCGTCCCCATCTTTTAGACGCAGACCATCATAAAGCAGAAGTCCCTCTGTTGTGTTTCTGTAATTACTGAAAGCATAGACCGTGGAGGCAGACTGCTTGGGTTCCAACCCGGACTCCATTCTTTCCTACCTGTGTGACCTAAGGCAAGTTACTTAACCTCTCTGGTAAAATGCTGCTATTAACAACACTAATCTCTGTTAAACTGTGGGGTTGAGGAGTACGTACTTGTAAAGCTTCTGGAACAATCCCTAACACACAGCACAACGAAGAAGCTCTAACACTTTTAAGGAACTTCCCATCCCCCCTGGGGCCATCCTGATGCCCCACCCCCACCCCGCCCCCGCTCCCCAGTGCTGCTCAAGGCAGACATCAAGATGCTAGTGCAGAGCACGGGGGAGCTGAAGGCCCTGGATGGGAAGCCTACCTTCAAACAGCGGGGTAAGCGCAAGAGGGGATTCACACCGAACTTCAGGTAGAGCAAGTCCAAGGGCAGGAGGCAGAGCATGTCCATCTGAAATCCCAGTGGGACACCGCAGTGTATAAAACAGGCAGCCCCCAGGGGGTTGGGAGGTAAGGGGAGTGACAGGGTCTCTACCTTCCCTGGAAGGGTGAGGTCAGAATGCCCCAGGAGCGGGCAGAGAGCATTTTACCCACAAGCCTCCGTTTGCCTACCCAGTGTCATTCTGGTGGGAATGACATCGCACCGGCCCCAAAGCACCCAGGGCCCCCAGTAACACCACCTTCCAGGACCCGGCGGGAGCTTGCACCCTTGGCACACACCTTAAAGCGATGAGATTTCAGGTAGTTATTGCGCATCTCCTTCTTGTCCGTCTGAAAGAAATGGAATATTGACCGTGAAATGGCCCGAGAGCTTAAAACCTGACCCGGTGGGGAGCAGCATGGACATCCCTGCAGAGTTTCCACCTTCCTATCAGAGTAACAGCCCCGGGGACAGTGGAGCTTTGGTGAAAGAAAGCCTCAGGGTCTGCAGGCAGTGAAGCTGGACCTCCCCTCCGGGAGAGGAGGCTGGACCTCCTGGGGGAGGGGGGGAGTTGTCCAAGCTCATCCGGCTAGATTCCGATTTCCTAGCTGGAAAGTCAATATTAGGCTCATTCTCTTAGCACGTGGGTCTTACCTGGACCATTTGCAACCTGGTTTACTGAGGAACCGCCTCCTGCTCTGATCAGGCTGGGGAAAGAAGCTGCCCAGGGAACTCTTTTTCCTCTAAATTGTATTAGAGACACAACCCCAGCCCGCCTGCACATAGAGGAGCAGGCCCCACCAGTGTGGCATTTTGGAAAGTGACCTGCACAGAGAGATAGGGACTGGGCCCTCTGCCTTCGCCAAGTCAAAGTCAGAACTCAGTTTCCTCCCCAGGAAGTGGGGCCTGCACCAGGGCACAGGGTCTGATGCTGATCCAAGCAGCGCGCTCTTTGCAGGACCCCCCACCCCAGGAAATGCCGTTCGCCCACAGCTCCCGTGCTGACCGCTCTGTGGACACCAACTCAATCCACCCTCACTGCAACGCTATGAGGTGGGAACAATGACTCCCCCCCTTTTATAGATGAGAAAACTGAGGCTCAGAGCGGGGATGCAGCTAGTGGTCGTAGAGCTGCGATTTGAACCGGGTCCACCTAAGGGTCATTCTCTGGTCCTCTTTCCATCTTTAATTCTGTCAGGTGCTGCAGGAGCCATTTCACCCATGAGCAATATTCGTGGGTGTAATTTGAACAAGGATGGGCACACACGCCCGAGATCTTGCTCCCTTGTCTTGTCTATCAGAGCAGCAGCTGGGGTCAGAGTCCCGAAGGCCCTGCTGCAGGGCCTGCCCCCCACCCCCGGCCCTGCCACCTGCCCAGGACTCACAACGATGTCTCCGCCTCTGACAAACTGCAGGCGCAGCTGGAACACGGTGATGTCCAGGAGGTAGATGAGGTCACACAGGTAGTCCATCAGCAGCCAGAGGAGGATGTTGTCTGGCGTCTGGTAGGGGAAGGCCCAGCGCACGGGAATCAGCCAGCAGTTCCAGTTCCAGGCCAGCACCACGAAGAACAGCCACAGGACGTACATCAGGTCTGTGGGGGGGGGGGGAGCGAAGGGGCAGGAATGCGCTAGAACGGCCGTCAGAGGAGGACTCCTCTCAGGAGCATCAGGGTAGGGCTTCCTTCTTTCCACTAGTCTCTTCCTAGATGTGGCACTTTTGTAACAGGAGTATGTGTGTGTGTGTGTGTGCGTGTGCGCTTGTGTGTGGGCATGTGCGTGTGCTTGTGTGTGTGTGCGTATGTGTGGGCATGTACGTGTGTGCTTGTGTGTGTGCATGTGCCTGTGCCTGTGCGTGTGTGCTTGTGTGTGTGCGTATGTGTGTGCATGTGCGCTTGTGTGTGTGCCTGTGTATGCGTATGTGTGTGCGTGTGCATGTGTGCATGTGTGTTTGCCTGTGTGTGTATGCATGTGCGTGTGCACGTGCGTTTGTGCGTGTGTGCGCGCGTATGTGTGTGCATGTGTGTGTGCTTGTGCGTGTGTGCCTGTGCGTGCGTGCGTGCGTGTGCCTGTGTGTGCGCGTATGTGCATGCATGTGCGTGTGTGCCTGTGTGTGCATATATGTGTGCATGTGCGCTTCTGTGTGTGCCTGTGTGCGTATGTGTGCATGTGTGTGTGCATGTGTGTGCATATGTGTGTGCGTGTGCTTGTGTGTGTGTGTGCCCGTGTGGTGTGGATGTGTGTGCATGTGCGTGTGTGGTTGTGTGTGTGTGCGTGTGTGCATGTGTGCCTGTTGTGTGAAACTATCTCTGATTTAAAAATAAATCCCTGCCAGGCCCTAATAAACCAGCGTACTCAGCAGGGGGGACGATGGGGGCATTATTAGATAATAGGTAGCTAACTAGAAAACACTTTGCTCTCATTCTTACTGAAAGAGTTCCAAACATGTCTTCCCTACTTTAGTAAATACACAATAGTAAATAACGCCTAGAAGATGGACACCCAGACGGGTGGAGGGATGGATGGGTGGATGTCGTGGGTCACGTGGTCATTTTAGAGGCCCAGTGGACAGCAGGGTTGGCATCTTGTCCCCGCAGGACTTGTGTGACCCCAGGAAGGTCTCTCTGTGGCGCCCACCCTGCCTCCCTGGAGAAGGCACAAGGCGAGGTCGGCTTAGAAAGGCTGGGAGGTCCTTCGTCAACTGTAAAGTGCCGTGCCCATAGGACGGGTCGTCATTCCCGAGGAATAGAACGTGTGAGGGGAATTCACTTTAGATGTCACAAGAATTTCTGCTCTTTTCTGTTCAGAGCAGCAGCTCCCGGAAGGGGCCCGCAAGAACAGAGTAGAAGGCAGCCTTGGCCAAGAAGCAGGGCTCCCGGGTCTGCTACTAACTAGTCGTGCCTCAGTTTCCTTGTCTGTAAGGTGGGGGTGATGGTAGGTTCCTAGTCGGGGGCTTTTTGCTTGTTCGCTCCTGACGTGCCCTTTCACTGCCCCCGCTTCTCCCGCTCGGTCTCCTGCCCTCGCAACAATACGTGGTGGGGGCAAGGCCCGGGCCCACCCAGGACTCACTGGTCAGCGGGTCGATGCTCTGGGGAAACCGGTACATCTTCCACGGGCGGCGCTTGAACTTGCAGCAGAGCATGTCACAATAGTGGTCCTCGCCCTCCTCCTCCTGCCCCGGCCCGGCCGGCTTCACTGCCGGGGCCGGCTCGGGGGCTTTCTTGGCCGGGGCTGCGGGATGACACCGGTGACCATCTGACCCAGCCCTGAGGCTCGGGCAGAGGCTACAGAGAGAGGCCAACCAACTACAGACTCTGGACCTGGAGCCGAGGGGACCCTGGCGCCACCCCCAAAGCTGCAGTCAGCTCTGCGTGCGGAAACCGGGGTGCTCTCCACAGCAAACCCCACGGCACCCAGCCAGACACTCTCACCAGCTACTGGTCTGGAACTGCTTCTCAGGAGCTACCCAGAATGAAGTGTTTCTGGGCAAGTTAGGTGTTTCCAAAAGTCTGCTTGTGCGTCTGTGTTTGGACCCCCTTGGTTCTCTCGGGAGGGCTGGGGGCATTTCCTACCCCAGACCCCTGCCACCAAGGGCCAGAAACCAGGGAAACCTTGCTCTGGGTTTCTCAGAGCAGGAACCTGAGCTCCTTCATCTCTGAAACAAGACACTGAAGGGGACCACAGCCTCTCTGTGCATCAAAGGCGATGGTGTTGGTGACCTAGAGAGTGACTTTTGTAGGTTCAATACGTTTGCGTTTCTAGCTTTAGGACTGTGGATCCAGACCCTGCTAGGTCCGTTGTTGGCACCCTGAACTCTGAGGCACAGTCCTCCTTTGGAAACCCTCCCTGGCAGGAGAGCACTTCTCTCATTTCCTCTTGGAATCTTGAAAGCAGGAAACTTTCAGGTAGCCCCATGAGATTATGGCAAATGAGGCCTCCAAAAAATAAGACTGAAAAAAAGTGGGGTGTGGACGCCATCTGTGTGTAAGTCCATGAGATGCCCCCCAGGCTGGACCACCTGCCTGCTAGTGGGAAAGGCCCAGAAGGGTCGAGGAGGGTACGTGCCCTGTGGGAGTGGGAGCCAAGTAAGATGGGATCATCGGTCAGAACTTTGGCCGTATTCCCTTCCCTGGTTCTATAGCTAAACCTGTACATACAGGACCCCAAAATCCAGACAGTGGGGAACTTGGCTTTTCCCAAGCACCCCAACCATTTCCTTGGGGGTACCCTCACCATGAGTTTACAAGGGGCTTTAGGGGACCCATTTCTGGCAGGGTGAATCTCCGGACTCACAGGGCTTAGGGCTCTCTTCATCAGAGGTGACGTCAGGGTCGATGAGCTTCTCCTTCACCTTCTCTGTGCGCTCCTTGAAAAGCTTCACCAACTCCTGGAGCCGGTAGTTGATGAAGATGCTGTTCTGGCTGGCCGCAGACACTGCGCGGTCCTGGCCACTGTGGACACACCACCCGGCGCTGGGGCGGGCTGGATGGGGCGGGACCCCCGTGCCCCCCGGGCCAGAACCAAACGGCGTCCGTACCCCACCCAGCCCGAAGGAGGCAAAAGCTACCCCAGTTTCCTTCGGCCACCAGAAACATCAAACCCACTTTAATAGGTCCTAGGAGGAAATTCAGTCTGGGGCTCACACCTGGGGGCCCAGCTTTTAGAAAATGTACCACGCAGGATCTGATTCGGATGGGCAGTTCTGAGAAAACTTTGATCCCACTTGCGATTTAGGGGGAAACTCTTGGAACTCAGGTCAGGACTGTTAGCCCCAGTTTGGGGTTCCCATGAGATTCGTGTCTGGGACAGATCAAAGAGCAGACAGGGCTACGCTTCTGGCTCAGGAAATAGCTGATGGAAAAAAATAGTGCGGATACATTCTATATCCTTTTAAATTATAGGAGTTTAAACTGTATGCACTCGCAGCGAGAAAGACAGATGGACAGAGAGACGGACAGAGAGAGAGAATGAATGTGAGTCCGCCCGGCGCTCCACTCACGGGGCAAGTGCCCTGGGTGGCCTGGGACAGGCTGTCCTCTGAGCAGCGTCACTCTGACCATCGTGCTGAGCTGAGTGCATACGAGTGTTTTCACACCTATTTGTTTTCAGACACGGGGGCACCGGAACTCAAGCCAGCTACTCCCCTGGTGCTCACTTGCTAAAGCAGGCTGGGGACAAGCCATATGGGGGTCCCAACAAGAAAGGGCACACAGGTATGGTGGAGACGCTAGCTGCTCACCCACATCTGCTCCCTCCCGTGGGGAGTGGTCGCTGGGACGCAGACACCCAGCGAGGGTGGCCGGGCGGGCTCCCAGCAGGGGAACATGAGTGGACTTGCTACACGCATCTCTGGGCCCCTTGTCTGAGGTTCTGATCCAGCGGGTCTGGGCTGGCAGCTGGGAGTCTGTACTGTTAACAAGCTCCCCGGGTTCAGATCCCTGGCGGTCCTTGTTTTCCTCACTCCTGACCCTCTCAGGGGTTTAGAGCTGGGAGCCAACCTCTGCCTGTGGGCCAGGAGCCTCTCCTTTACAACAAAGCCCCTGTGCGTTCTGCAGACTGTACAGAACTCCTAGGCCAGCCAGAAGCAGCCTGGGCAGGAGACCCAGCCCTGTCTTAGAGGTCAGAGGCTGCTGGCAAAGTTGTGGTGGAGGGTTCTAGAAACGTCCATGCTCTCCCCCTCAACCCCAACCCCCTCCCCTTGCCTGCTCATCCCGACCCAGACTTCCAACTCTCTGCGACCCCAGAGGTGGTCCCTACTCACTCAGTGCCCTGTGGGCTGGACTGGTCCAACCAGGCAACCACGGGGGACTCAGCTGGTGACAGTGCCTTGAGCTCTTCAGCCTCATCATCTCGGGAGGGCAGGCTCTTCCTGCAAGGACACAGACATGGAGGGGCCTTCAGCGAGGGCAGAGGCCACAGGGGGGAGTGAGCCGACCTCGACCCCTGCAGATCAGTCAGAGCTGAACCCTGGCGGGGGCGGGGGCAATGAGACAGGGGGTGTTGGTGCTGCAAAGGGTCCTCACTTGCCCGCAGGGAGACTCAAAGGGAGAAGAGAGGGACACAGCCCTCTCTGGACCTCAGTCCCCACATCTGTTCAACGGCCTAGTGTAAAAGTAACAGCACTGACTTGGTGTCAGGCAAACTTGAGTTTGCATCCCAGTCCTGCTTCCTACTAGTGTATGATCTTGGCAAGTGACTTAAACTCTCTGAGCCACCTCAGTTTTCCCATCTGTAAAATGGGACTAGATTTACTCAACTCATTGAGATCCTCAGGACTCAGTGGGGCCTCAGCTTAAATGTTCTGCTTTCCCCTCCCAGTCCCCAGCACACCCTATCTGAGGAAGGAAGACCAAATCCTCCCCGGGCTCCCCTGTCATTCAGTGCATGTCTGCCCCAGGACTGTGCATTCGGAGCCATTGGAGTCCTGGCTGATGGTGTCTGGGTGGGAATCCACCTGTCATTCTTCCCATCCTCAACTATCGCAACTCAGGATCCCAGAGGCTTCTAGAGGGATACAGATGGAGGGATGTGTAGCACTGCCTTTATTCCAGAAGGCTCTGAAACTATCCTATGACCTTCTGCCTACTCACTGAGGACGGCAACACTCACGGATTCACCTCCTTCACACTCTAATTAAAATTCCCAGCCGCGAACACGGAGACCAGAATTTGCACAGGTGGAGGACCCAACTCGGTCCTCTTGCACCCAGCCTGGTGCCCTCTCCTGAGTCAGGGTGCCATCTCCTGCCCAAGACACCAGAGTGTGGAACTCCATCAGCAGCTAGGCTCCCACAGCCCTGTTTTGCGTGCAGCCCTGTGCTGAGTGCCTTGCACGAATTAGTTCGTTGAATTCTTCCAGCAGTCTAGTAACAGGTGGTGTGTCTATCCCCATCTTACAGTATGAACATGGAGGACTAGGAGTGTGCATTGGCTTGCCTCGAGCCTCCCATTGGTAAGTGGTGAGCTGGGATTCACCCCAAACCAAGGCTTTAAGCTTTTCAAGGTTTAAGCAAACCTAGCCCCTGTGCCCCTCTGTCAGGGTCTGTGGTTTCCATGGATTTCTGGTGCCTATCAGTTGCCCACAATGCTCATTCCATCCCTGACCATAGGCAGCCCCATTGGCTTCCCAAGTCAGGTATCAGAATTCTCCCCTCTCAGGGCCAAGGAGGCTTAGGTAGATGTTCCCCTGGTTTCTCGAAGTCATGTTCAACTTAGAGCTCTCTGGGACAGTCTTGTTTGTTTGCTTAATTCCTTGTTCATTGTCTATCTCAGCCCCATGAGAACATCAGCTCCAAGAGAGTAGGCCCCTGTCAGACTTCTCCCAGCACCCAGAGCAGAGCCTGACACATAAAGTTGTTCAAGAAATGTTTGTGAATGAATGACTGAGTGAATGAGTGAGTGAGTGAGTGAGTGAGTGAGTGAATTAATGATAAGGACAAGAGGAGCCTTGCCCATAAACAGAAGGCAGAGGGCTTGGATTCTATCCCCAAGGGAGCCTACTCCCCCTCTCTGTGCCCAGATATCCACCCCCAACCCAGCCTGTATAAAGAGAACAGAGAGAGGTAGACCAGACGTCTGCAACAATATTGGCTCTGTTTTTTTCTGCTGTGTTCTGCATAGCTCAATGAATGAAACAAGAGGATTGATGGGACAGTGAGCTATGTTGCAAGGCTAGATGAGATTATGACTCTTTTCTTCACATTAAAATCAGAGAGCCTTCAGTTGGCCACATCTAGCTATCTCTGTTACAACAGGCTTTTTACCTTGGCTGAGAAAGTCCTCAGGGACACACGGATGAGAGCAAAGATTAATCAAGAAAAAGGAACTATCTCCTAATCCAACCACCGCAGGAGAAGCACTGGCAGCTCCCCTGCAGCTTAAATGCAGTCATTCACAAAGCAGTGTACCGCACTTCACAGTTTGCCTACAGCTGTATGCAAGACCTCTCTGTTACCTGGCTCAGGTTGTTCAAAACCAACTCTAATCATGTAACAAATTTATATCAAAAAGCATAAAAATGTGCACAGCCTTGACCAGGATTCCCACTTTTCAGAAAGGAGCCCAAGGGCAGAGAGAAGCCCAAAGAGATGTCCATAGCTCCATTATGGACAGTGCCCAACAAGAAAGTATTTGTTAAGTTCATTCTGGCACATGGAGCTGGAGGAACGTCAGATCTGGTCTCAAATGAAATGTGGTCCAAATCACCCCTCCAGTTAAAAGCACACAAAAGCATGGGCCCATAGACAAGGTACAGAAGAGAAGGCAGTAAAATGAAATCACTACCTAGTGCAGTGGGACAAGGGATGCTTATTTTTCTAGTGTTTTTTGTTATCTCCATTCCATTATTTTAATAATAAAACAGGGGGTGAAAATTAGCCTTGTCACATTTATTACCCCCCTCCTATAGTTGAGGGTACTTGGGAGAGGACTTCCTTGGAGAGTCCTAAACCAGAGTTGAGGACTAGGAAGTGGGACCATAGTCCCAGTTCTGACACCAGGTCACCGAGTGACCTTGAGCCGCTGCTTTCCCACCCTGGCCTCAGTCTCCCTTTCTGGCAAATGGACAGAAAGGTGCTGTGAAAAGCCCAAGAGAAGCATAAAAGGTGACCTTTCAGTCCCTGCGGCAGATCCCGGGACCGAGAGGGTGTCGGATTTGGCAGGAGAAGGTGGTGGCGGCTCAGGTGAGGGTGGATTCTCCACGATGAGGGGGTGGCTGTCCGCATCAGCATCTTCCACCTGCACTTCCGGATGCTCTTTTGTAGCAGGCACTTGGAGAGAGGAAGGAGAGGACAGTCAGAGAGAGAGAGAGAGAGAGAGAGAGAGAGAGAGAGGCCAGGTCCCAAGGGCCTTGCTCCGTTCTTGATAAAGCCACAGAAAGCATGTCTGGAGGGGCCTCTGGCAGCCCCACCTCCCAATGGGACCCACGGGAGAGCTCCATGCAGGGGGTGCAAGAATGCAGAGCCCGGGGGCCTCCGAGGGCCTTGGCTGCCCCAGACCCCAGCCCAGGGGCTGCAAAAGAAGCCATAACACCATTGAGGCCACAGAAGTTCCTGAGCATAGCCTGGAGTCCAGCTCTCCCAAGCTCTGGTCTCCTCGGGCCTAGTGAAGCCTCAAGGACTTGGGGTTTGGCGGGAGTGGGGGCGGGAGGGTGGCAGCACCCAGAGAGGGCCGGGGGAGGCTGGGAGAGCCCAAGTCTGAGGGCCTGGCCTAGCACAGCCTCAGCTGCTTCCCCTCGCTGGGCCTCAGTTTCCCCATCCCAAGGCAGGGGTGACAAAGGCACACAGCCTCACACTCTTGAAGGGCCTCAAATGGAGACATTGGGCAGTTTCTTGCAACCAAGGATAACAGCCTGTCCTTGGAGTGTGTGTCACCCCTGTTTGGGAATCTGTTTGGGTGTCTCCTTATTTCCCGACCCGCTGGGAGGCCCTCAAATCCATCAACCCAACCCCTCTCCTGACCTCTGAGAAGCCTGGTGCCGGGTCCCACGTCCCAAGGACCAGGTCCTCCCCGGCCAGTCTGGGGTGGCCCTGCCTCAGGCTTCATCACCCACCCCAGGGGCGGTGGGACAGGCCTGCCTGAGGCGACGCTCAGAGGATGCCAAGGGGCCAAGACAGGGCTCCCTCTCCCGGCCACACTGGGGTGGGACCACTTGCTAGCAGCCGGGCCCAACGCACCCAAAATGAGGACAGGGAGCATTCTGAAGCCCTTGGAGATGCGACTTTCTTTTTAAATGGCCATCATGGGGAAAAAGCCAGCACTTCGCAGAATGTGGCAGAGGGAACCTAAGCGAGACCTTTGAGCATTTGTTTTACCAAGCCTTAAGCCCGCAGAGGAAGAGCATGAACAGGAATGGCGAAATTTCTAAACATTTAAGGAACAAGTGTTGCCAGACTAACAAGAGAGATACCCGCAGGCTGTGGAAAGCAGGAGAGAGCGTGAGGCACCGGGGCCCTCACCCTGCTTCTCCGGGCAGGGTGAGCTCAGCGCCCCAGACTGCCCCCAGTGTGGCCCCCGGAGCCTCCGTGAGGCTGTGTCAGGTAGCCTGCGAGGGGGCAGGTGCTCCCCCACCCTGCCTCACCCTGAGCAAGACTCTGCAACCTCCATCGCCCCCAGGAAAGAAGGAAAACCCCTAAGCCTGGTGTTTCATTTTTATAGAATGAGAATAATATTATGAAAAATCAAAGAACACAGCATGACTACATTGGTTGAGAGAAGAGTCATATTTACGTAGAGCACGTCCTATGTGCCTGCCTGCCATTTGTTTCACCAAACTCTTAGTGCTTTATATAGATTAATTCTTCCCCCCTCCCCGGCCCTTCTAGAAGGCCACTGTTATCACTGTCCCCATTTTGTGGATAAACTGAAGCACAGAAAGACGAAGGAACCGGCCCACAGAGCCAGGATTTGGACCCAGGCAGCCCAGCTCTAGCACTTAGCCTCTTCCTTCGTCCTGAGGTTGGTGACCAGCTCGCAAAGAGGCCTCCATTTAAACAAAACCTCACTCGGGGCCAAGCAGCATCACTGAAATGGGGATGGTGTTCTTCTTACATGCTGCCCTGCCTTATCCGCAGCATCTCACATCACCGCCGGTCATACCACCATGGCTGGAGCAGCCCACTGTCCCAACGTGGCCATGGGACTATTTCCCCAAGTGAGCATCATGGTCCCCATTATGGCCTGTGTGTGTGGAGGGGGCTCCTGGGGACCTGGGCACAGACAAGGCAAAGGAAATGTGGGACGAGAACATTCCTCCCGTTTCAATTCTCTCTAGATCCTGAATGCACAGAGACGAAGTCACAGCCTGGTGCTCCCCGGGCCCTAATGCGTCTCAGACACAGCCTGATTCCCCTTTGGGGCTAAGACGGCAGGTCTCCGCTGGGAGCCTTCAGCAGGTCATCACTGTTCGCCGAAACAATCAGCATGACTTTGTTTTTAGTTCATTTGCAGTTGTTTCTATTTATGCCTTCTATTTATGGCAAGCGATGCTGCTTTCCCACTGGAATAGTATGGTAAAGCTTCCTGATTGAATAAACTTAATTAAATGTAAAAAATGAATCCACTGAAAGAAAAACGGCAAGCCAATAAAGGTAGAATTGGTATAGAATACAGCAAAACTTGAGAAGGGATCCATGGGGGGTAGCGATTGGGGGATGCTTGGGAGTGAGTAGATGCAGGGCTTGCCCAGAAGACGGGGCCTGGGGGTGTCAACCCTTGTGGTGCGGTCGATCACCCCCACTCTGTGCCTATTGCAAGCTGGGAAGAGAGGACGGCGGTGGATCTATTCTCATGAAATGTTCAGTTCTGCCTGTCTACTGACCTCACAGGCAACCTTGCACACTATCCCCCCAAAACAAACAAATGAAAGGGAAAGCGAGTGGGTCTGGCTTGAGTTAAGGCAGAAAGGGATAGAGGTTAGTCCAGAGGCACTCCACTGTCCCCGAGCACTTGGTCATCAGGAAGCAAGCAGCAGGAACCCGAAGACTGTCACAGGGACCTTGTCACAACTAAATGGATCCAGACAGGCTCTCCTTCTTCACTGGCCCCTAAGGCTATCTCTCCTCCTGGTCTGCCTGCAGACACCTGGGGGCCTCTCCTTTCCTGAAATGGGATTTGCTGGGCAGATATCAACAATCCTCCCAAAGTCCAGCTCCCAGAAAATCCTCAAGGTCTAGGATTCTGTCTGAAATGGGTCCCCACATTCCTCTCTGCCCCATTCCCCTCAATTTATTCTCCTTGAGTCTCTTGGCCTAGAGATCTTAGTAATTTGTTTCAGTGAGGGTGTGATTGACTAGCTGTAAAAAAAAAAAAAATGATGATCTGCAGAATGCAATGTTTTACCCAAAGAAATTAATTGCTAATTGTGGGATTTTAGGCACAGAGATAAGCGGACTAATATCCCTTAAGTCAGCACAAAGCAAGATGAAGGCATTGACCAACAGAGGAAGGGGGTTGGTTTTCCAGTTCAACTGTTAATCCCACGCCTTGACCATGGCACCCATGCGAGGAACAGCCCAAGCCATGCAGAAGCCCACACCACAGGCGCGAGCATGCTGGGTGCACAAGATCACACTACCTAGACGACGGACGGAACTTCTGGTCTCCTTGGCGAAGCTGGAGTTGGACAAGGCCGTCCTCCGAGAGGTGAGGACAGGGATGCGGGTGATTGAGGGGCGGTAGCTGGGCACATTGGGGAGGTGCTCCGCCAGGGCTGGGGGAGCAAGCCCTGGGGCCACCTGGCCAGGTGGCTGGTCCTGGACCAGGCGATTCAGCTCCACATCCTGGCCTGGTTGAGCCATGCTGCTGGGGCCAGTGGGGGTCAGGCAGATGTGGGAGCCTGGGGACTGCAACCAGGAACAGAGGGTTGGGGGAGGCAGGGGAGGTGGGCTCCTCCCCACTAGCACCAACTCGGACCAGCCCGGGGCCCCCCTGCCCTTGCAGCAGCTGCATCCAAAGCCCAAACATCATTCGTGTCCCTGGGGTCAACATCGAAAGCATCATCAGGTCATGTTGGCTGGTCTACGTGGTAGCTCTGGGGGACAGCCCCGGGTCCCCCAACTTCTTGTGCTTTCTCTGTTAACCAGCCACTGGTAGCATTTCCCACCTCAGACAGAAAAAGTTAGAATCAGGGGCGCCTGGGTGGCTCAGTCGGTTAAGCGTCTGCCTTCAGCTCAGGTCATGGTCCCGGGGTCCTGGGATCGAGCCCCGCATCAGGCTCCCTGCTCGGCGGGGAAGCCTGCTTCTCCCTCTGCCTGCCGTTCCCCGTGCTTGTGCACGTTCTCTCTCTCTCTGACAAATAAATAAATAAAAATCTTTAAAAAAAAGGTGCTTCTCAAAGACCAGGTGGGGAGCAAGGTTGGGACACCTGGAGTCGGGACACCTGCATCCAGTCCCCTGTCCGTCGCCGGCTGGCTGGGACATGAGCACCATGGTCCCCATTATGGCGTCCTGCCTCAGGGCCACGCGGTGTTGGGTACCTTTGACACATTGTCCCCTCCTACTCTGCCCCATGCCCTGTGTGGCAGGTATGACTCTTGCCCTGTCTTTCTGGATTTGGGAGTCACAATTAAGAGAGGTCACACACCCAGCTCCAGGTCCCACAGGAAGGAGGAGGGAGGAACCAAGAGTGAAATGCAGGTCTGTGCCCTTGGCCACTCAGCCACATCCTGCCCACTTGGAGCCTCAGGTTTCTCATCTATAAAACGGTCTGTCTGCCTCAGAGGGTGGCTTGAGGAACATGGAGGCCCAAAAGGTCAGGGCTCCGTGTCTGTCTGTCTCAGGCTCCCCAGCCTGGCTATGCTCGGCTCCCTAGCCTCTGCCGCACCAGCCCTGGAGCTCTCGGGTTTGCGGGTGGAGGTGGTAAATAATAGCAAAGTGCGTGTGCTGGGTACAGCCTGGGGGTCTGGGCAGTAAGGAAAAGCTCACTGAGACACGTGGGGTCTAGGACGGGCCCTTAGCAAGCTCGGGTTCCAGTTTTCATTCAGAGATGCTACATTTCAGCCAAACCGTCTCCAGATGGTAGTCCAGAGAAGAGCGGCAGGAGGGGCTGACCGGGAGTGGGGTTTCCACAGGCCTAATGGAGTCCCAGGAGCCTCCCGTAATCCCCCTGGGGCCCTGAAATACATCACCAAGCTCTGATCATGTGGCCCCAAGACGCAGAGGATGGGTTTCACCTGAGGATGAGACAGGTGTAGGGGAGTGGGGACGGTAGGGATGGAGGGAGAGGGGCTGAGTGCCCTTGTCCCCAGGCTGCCCCCAGCCCGAAAGTATCCTCAACGCTCTGACCCCCCCCCCCCCCCACCACCACACACCTACCTTCGGGGCTGGCAGTCACGGCCTCCTCCTGCAGCTCCTACAGACAGGAAGGGGGAAACAGAAGGTGGACCATCAGGGCTCCTCCTCGCCCCAGGCCAGCCCAGACCCTGCTGGGAGATCTGTCTTCAAGAGTCCTCCCGGGCCCCGAGTCTACTCCTTGCCCTGCCTGACTGGTCAGGCCCTGCCCCCCAACCTGCTGGGGCCTCCAGGGAGGCGGCCCCCACCGTGTAGAGGGAGGACACCCAGGAGCCCAGCGCCGGGACCTGACACAGATAAAGGGGGGGTGTGTTCTCACGTAACTCTCCCCGCCTGGGCGCCACACTTCACAGTGCATAACTGTGTGGGACGCCCTGGGGAGGGGTTTTCGGCCGCATTTTCGAAAGGTGGCCACAGAGGCCCAGAGTGGGGAGGTGACTCGTCCAGGGCCACACAGCCACGTGAAGACTGGCCTGCAGGACAAGCTGCTCCCCCCGCAATGGACGTGTCACCCCAGGCCCTCGCTGAGCCCACCTGACCCCGGGTATAAGCCAGGTCCTGCAGCACCCACCACCCTGCTCCCCTCTGTCCAGGGGGCATCTCACCAGCTGAAAATCCCCCCGTAAACAAAGTAGACAAAGCCTACCCAGGCCTCAGAGGTAATCTGCTCATACCTGGTCTGAGGCCCTCTGGGGCTGGGTCCTGTCTACTCCGCTCGAGTCCTTGCCAGCCTGTTCCACCAGACAGCTATCCAGCAGGACACTGTGACCCCAAGGGGGAGGAGGAAAAGGCCAGTGTCAAGGGTGTTAGACCTTTCCCGAGCCCCGCCTGCCGAGAGCCAGCCCATGTGTTGGGAGCTGGTGCCCAAAGGTGGCCAAGAATAAGGTCCTCACCCTCAGGAGGTTCCCTGCACGGGGCAGGCAGACCACGATTGTGTCTAGGAAGAAGGCCTGCCCATCATCAGGGACGGTGAGTTGACCATGAGGCATAGGTGAGGAACGGTGTCCAGGACAAGGGAACAGCATGTACAAAGGCAAGTGTGGTGGATGGTTCGAGGAACCGTCCTCTGGGGGGTGGGACCAAAGAGCACTGGATAGCGTTCAAAATGTACTCCCAGCATTTGCCCTCTGCGAGCCTCCAGGTGACATTGGTGACACAGTCAGGGCAGGGAGTATGAAAAAAGTGAGGCCCAGAGAGGTGACCTGACCTGGCTAAAGTCACACAGCAGATTGTCTGCCACCACACAGATCTCAAATGCAGGCCCTAGTTCTTTGCAGGCCACGAGACCAGAGCCACACTTTGGCTGCTGAAGATTTCAGGGGTCCCTGGCCCAGGCTGCAGACATACACGGGTGACAGGGACCAGGGGTGCAGAGAGGAGTATAGCCAATTAAAGAACGTGTACCCATCTGAGTCTGCAACCCCACTTGGCTTGGAAAAATCTGATTTTCAAGAGGAGCCTGAACTACATGTTTTAAAGGTGGAATCTCCAATCTTCAGATGCTGATAATTAATCCAAGTTAATAGACTCATAGCAATATGTAGATAATCAAAAGAGCCTGTCTGTAGGTTAAATTGGGCCCTTCGATGCCCATGTGGCAGCCTCTGGGTTAAAATGGTGACTCAGAACCAGGGGCCGATGGGACTTACGTAGTTGGAATTGGATCCTGGGTCCTAGCGGCCCACACGGCCCCACAGACCTCTGTCAGCGAGGCTCACGGCAGTGTCTACCCCCCAGAAAACCCGGATTCACCATCGCCTACCCAGAGGGCCAAGCTTCAGCGCTCCCAAGGTGGGTGAGGAGGTGGGGGGCAGAATTGCAGCCCTGGTCAGTTTGGAGCCAGCGGCCTGGGAGCGGGACTCAGTCGGTGATCACATGGTCACAGCAGGCCCCATCCTCACCTAAGCCACCCTGCGTTCCATCTCAGCAATCCAAGGCACAGACGGCCCAGCCACAGTCACATGGCTGGTGTGAGGCAAGCCTGGATAAAATACGAGTGTCTCTGACCCCATGTCCGCAATACTTGGCTGCCTGTCTCCAAGCGGCCCCATGTGACACGGGGGGGGTGAGGCAAGTGTCCTGAGGACCCGAGCACCCAACCCTCTTCATTTCCCTTCATCATCACGTAGCTATTTCCATCGCAAGGGGCCTCAGATGTCAGGGTCACAGTCCCCACCCTGCCCAGGGAGAAACAGATTTTCATAAAGAGATTCAAGTCACAAAGGCAAGGGCACATGATGACTTTCCGGGGGCCTGTGTGCTTTAGCCTTTGCAGGCCCCTTTGTCCTTAAAAATAAAAATTAGATTTTGTGACTGCATTTATAGAAGATTCAATATTACATACATTCTCTTCCATCGAAAAGTTCCTTTTGGGGTCTGACGTTAAAAGAAATTAAAATGTGCTTGAATGCCCTTCCCGGTTCTCAAAGCACCAAGGCCCAGGGCATGAACATCTGCAGCCCCATGTGGGGCTGCCTAGGGCCGTGCTCATTCCAGAATCAGGCCATGACATCTCTGGATGGCCCTGAGCACGTCACTGGGAAGCCCTCAGGCTGCCTCTGTTTGCCCATCTGTCAAATGGGTAGGACTTGCTCAGCCTGTCCAGCCGGACTTACTTGAGGGAGGTCAGAAGGGCCGGTGAGAATCTCATGAAAAAGTCAAAAAAGGCTTCCCATGGCTGGTGCCATTCTTGAGCCTCCATCCCTCGACACTGAGAAGCAGTTCTCCTTGTGTGGGGCACCAAGGGTTTGCTTTACTCCCAGCTCTGCGCTTGCCAGCAGCGCAGCCCTGGACGTTCAGGGGACCGTGTCTGAGCCCCAGTTCTCTCGTCTGTGAGACGGGATGAATAACCGGTGCCCAGAGGCTGGCATGGATACCGAGTGCTATGCAAATGGCCACTGTTGTCAAGATTGCTCTTGTCATTATTATTACTAATAGCAGAGGGGGAAGCATCCTGCCAGGTTATGAATCACCCACGTGGATTGGGGAACATCTTGCACAAACATCTCCAGCTATCAAGACACCTAGTGAGCCCTACCATGGCCCTGTCAGCAACACCAGGGGCTGCTTTGGGAGCTGTGTACCCAACGTCATGTTGCCCCTGGTCGGCAATGTGCCCAAGGCCCCCTCTTGCCCAGCCCAGAAGTCGCAGGCCAGCCACTTCTAGAAACCTCCCCAATCCCAGGGATTTCCAAGCGGAGGATCAGACAGATGGGCTGAGGTGGGCAACCCGGAGGACCTCCCTAGCTGGCTATCCGACTTAAAGGTGCAGGGAGTAGCCAAGAGTTGGCCATCCCGCTCTTTGTCCCCCAGGTCACCTGGCAGGCTACACCCCTAAGCTAAAGTCCTCAGCACACTCCTCACCGGGCACGCCAACCCTGCAAGAAAGAAGGGGAGCCCTTAGGAAGAAGCAGCCACCTACTTGGGTCTCGCTGTCTTTGCCGACAAGAACGCCCATGATGCAGGAGGTCAGCTGGGGGCGATGACATTCATCCCAAGCCCCGGGTCGGGTGTGCACAGGGAGACAATTGGGAGAGCCCCAGCCCAGCCCCAAGCCTGCCAGGCCAGCTCTGGAGCCAGTGTGGCTCGGGTCGCCGATGAGCCACTGATCCTTCCTGCTTCTAATCAGATTGAGGGGATGTGCAGGGAACTCTGCAGAAATGTCCCCAGGGAGGCCAGGTGGGGACCAAAAGGCTGCGGTTGCTAGGAAAAGCCGAGCTGTTGCCGGCAGAGACCAGGTCGCTAGGCGACCGTCTGCCTGTTACCAGGGCCCGCGCGCGTCATCAGCAACCCCTGTGCCTCTGCAAAGCCGGCCAAGAGCCTCCCCCGCCCAGCCAGTGACAGCCCAGCCCACCTGCCCGCGCCCAACGCCCTCTGGCCCCAGCCCGGGCATCTCTCACTCTCTCACCCAGTGCCCTCGTCCCGACCTAGGGCCCCAGGCCCAGAAGTTCCCTGAGTTTGAAACTCTGGATAAACATTTATGTGAATATGTGCGTGTCTGCAGCATTTGTGGGTAACTGTATACATGTGCTTGTGTGCACGAGCATGTGTGTAGGGCGTGCAAGTGTGTTATCAGTGTGCCTGTGTGTGCACATGTGTGAATACATGGGTGCGTGTGGGTGTGTGCGTGTGCATGTGTGCATGCTGCGTGTGGGTGTACCTGTGTGCACACCTGCACATGACCCAGCATGTGTGTCAGTATCTGGGTGTGGGTGTGTACGTATAGTGCAGATATGTGTGTGTACCAGGCAGAGAACACGTGTGTAGTTGGTGCGTGTGCATGTGTGTGAGTACACTAACTCGCTGGCCTCTGAGGTGGAAAGCAGACGGCTGATGGGGCTACACTAACGGGGCTGGGCCGCACCTAAGTTTTCACCCAGGAGAAGGGGTGTCACCTGTCAGTGAGAGCAGCCTGGCTCTGGGAGACCCATACGGCAGAATTCGGACTGCGTTACAGAAACCATAAGGCAACACGCTTATTTTTGGTGCAAGAAATATTTTCATAAGTCAGAGGTGTATAAGGATGGGATGGACAGCCCTCAAGAGGTTGTGAGCTCCCCGTCACTGGAGGCAAGCAAGTAACTGTGTGGCCTCTTGCTAAGGATGAAAAAAATTGTATGTGAACTAGGGAAAGATGGACTAAAAGCAGAAGCCACTGAGCAGGCCTTCGGCCCGGAAGTCCAGTGTTGGTCTCATGGTGTAACAATATCCTGCCTGGGACTGGAAGTGACCCTCAGTGGGGATGAGACCATCAACGACCTTTGATGGGGTGCCCACTGCAGGCCAGGCCCTAATATGCCCCCTACACAGCTGGCCCTGCCACCACTCTGCAGGGGCTGTGAGTGTCCCCGTTCCTTGGACGTGGAGGCAGAAGCTCTGTGTGGTATGCACCTGCCCAGGTCACTCTGCCAGGCGGAGTGGAGCCCGTGTCTCAGGCCAGGGAGGAAGGGTGCAGGCCAGGGGACACCACAGAGGGCCCAGTGACAGGGACAGGAAATAAAGCAAGGGACAGATTAAATCAGTCTGGCCTGCCCCCTGATAACAGCCTCCTTGAGGTCTTCCTGCCTTAGTCTCCCCACAGTGCAGCTGCCAGATCACACCACTCACCTGCTCATGAACCTTCAGTGGCTCCCCATTGCTCCTGGGAGAGCAAGTCCAAGGCCTTCACAATCTGGCCCTCTGCCTCTGAAGCACCGTCTCCCCCTGTGTCCACCAGCTGCATTGTCACTGTCCCCGGACATGTGGGCTGCTTTTGAGGCTCTCTTCGAAACCCCCAGGCTCTACGCTGTTCTCGTCTCCCACTCCCCTCATTGGCACCTCTTCCTCAGGCCTTTCTGGTTCCTCAAAACTCCCTGGTTCTGATCTGGCCTTTGGGCCTCTCCTCTCTCCATGCTGGCTCCCCCAGGATCTCCTCCAGTCCCCTGGTTTCTGGTTCTGCCTATGCGACCAGACTCCTGCCTTTACATCTCCAACCTCTTACCCCCAGCTCCACACTCAGGTCCAGCTGCCTGCTCTCCATCTCCCCGTGGGTCCCCCTCTCTGTCTGTCCTTCTGTCCATCCCACATTGCCTAAAATCTTCTCCCTCTTAGTGGTCTTTTGTAATACTATTGAAATGTTTGACATAGAACATTGTGTAAATTTTAGATGTGCAACACATTGATTTGATGCATTTATAGATTATAATATGATTGCCACCATGGTGACAACACCTCTATCATGTCAGTTAATTATCATTTCTTTTTAGTGGTCGGAATAATTAAGATCTAGTCTCTCAGCAATTTGATGATTATAACTTTTAGTGGTTTCTGATCGCCATTCTTTAACCATTACCTTAACTGACTTCTCTGTGCGTTCCTGTGAAATCCTTATGGATTGGGGTGGAGAATCAACCATTCATGAGCAGGACAGAAGCCAGCGTGGCCTTCATGGTGTCAAAAGCCCCCATGGGACCGCTGTGGGGGGGGTGGAGGGGGACACAGCCCTATGTCCTGGCTCTGTTCATGGTAGGGTTGTGAACCCACTGCAGGGGCCCCTTCACTCCTCCAGCCATGCATTCAGCTGACATTTACTTGGCGCCTAGGATCTAGGGACATGGGAGTGAGCGCTCAGACAAAACCCCCCACCCCCAAGGAGGCTGCGTTCTAGTGTGCGTGCGTGCGTGCGCATGCGCGTGCGTGTGGGAGGCGTGTGGGAGGCTGTGAAGTGGGGGGCCATATAAGTCCCAGGTCATTTTGAGCACAGGGGGGACCCCCAGCCTCCCCAGCCTCTTTGGTCAGTGCCCAGCAACACACATCACAGAACAAAGGAAGGAGTACCCCCAGCCCAGAAACCCGCTGCCCCTCACTGTAACCCCCCCCCCCCCAGGCCATCCTTGAGGGGAAGACAGAGAACACAAGCGCCTTACTTTGGCTCCTCCTCTTCTTCCTCCTCCTTCTCTCCATCCTCCTCCTCAGCTTCTCTCTCCTCTTGAATCCGGGGCAGTTCCCTGAGTTGAGGTCAGAAGCAGGAGGTGAGCCCACCTGCAGCTCCACCCCAAGTCCAGCTGCTGCCCCATTTTCAGGAAGATGTTCCGCAGCCCCTGACACCAGAGCTGAACGTCTCAACCAAGACTTGACCCGGGGAACCCCACCTGAGCAGCCTTGGGCTCCCTCTGGCAGCAAGGTCTCTTCACGGAATGAGGGGCCCGGCCCAGCCCCCGTTGTCCTAGGGGCAACCCTGGGTCAGCCCCTGAGCCCCTCTGGGCCTCAGTTTCCCCACCTTTACAACGTAGGCCATGGGCCTGAGGACCTGAGACCTCCCAGCCCGAGAGGCCACCGCCAAGATCACTAGCGGGAACAAAGACCGTGATGTCCCTATGGAGGGCAAGTGGGCCACCATCACCACTGCCACACGTTCCAGTGACCCATGACCCTGTAGCCCCCCTTCTGGAAATTTCTCCTGCACACCTACTCACATGGCTGTGTAAGGACATCCGTGCCAGAGTGTTTGTTGCAAAATTGTTTATGATAACACACTTTCAGAATCATAAATGTCCACCCATAGTGGGCAGATTAGATCAGTTCTGGCACATTCACGCAATGGAAGATCTCTCTATGCACTGAAGGTGGAAAGAGCTCAGGGTATACTGTGGAATGAATAGAACGAGGTGCAGCTAGGAGGAGTGGGGGCGGGTTTGAATCCTGTTCTCTGCCCTTTGGTACCTTTGGGATTCTCTACCGTGTGCCTGTTACCTTCCCAGTCATTTGTTCCGGCGCTTTCTCTGGCTCCCACCTGGGCATCTTTTCCACAGTTTCATTCTCCTCTTCATAAGCTGGAGGCTCCTCTGAGCCCTGCGGGCTGGTGCCACCATCCTGATGCTCGTCCTCCTCCCAGTGAGGGTCAACCTCTTCTAGGACGAGATCAGGCTCCTCTCGGCCTCCGGGGAGGATGCAGACTGCAGGGGACACAGGGCGCGGGGGAGAGTGGGCTTGGGCCTCTGAGTCCGAGGGACCGCATGGGGGGCCTGGGCCATCAACCGCCATGATACGAAAGATCCAGGTTCGGGGTCCGCCTTGGCACGCGCAGGTGCAAGGTGGCCTGGACTGTACCGGGGGATGCAGAGAGAGCCTGCCCCCGGCCTGTTCTCTAGATGCCGCCCACTGGTGACAGCATACTACATGCTCCTAACCCCAGCTCCCGCTTCCAGGAGTCTTTCCCTCCTGGGCCTAGAGGCTCCAGCTTCCAAGGGGATTGACTTTCTGGTAGAGGTGGTCCGACCTTCAGATACAAATTGAGCATTTGCACTATTTCTCCATGTACCCAGGTCCCTGACAATGCAAACAGTGTGGGGCTGTGAGCTCGCCAGAAGTGGGCATAGGGGAGTCTCATCAGGAACCTAAACCCCCCAACAAGCAAGAGAAAGGGGGGAAGTGGGGAGATTTGCCTGGATCCCAGACATTCCCAAAAAGCTCCAGGTCTTGGCTGGCCCTTCAACCAAGCATGAAATTATGAACAGCGACTTTAAATGGGAGTTGGTCTCACACTTTATCCTGTGACTGGGAATTATTGCTCATGGTGTAGAAATAATAATAATAATAATAATACAATGGCAGCTGTATTTATTGAGCACTTACTATGTGCCTGGCCCTGTACTTAGTGACATACATGGATTAACTCAATGAGTCCTCACACCAACCTTTTGAGGTGGGAATAATTGCTACTCCCCATTTTATTTTCCCTCTTTTATGTTATTCCCCATTTTACAGATGAGAAACTGAGACCCAGGTTAACACCTTCCTTTGCAGGGCGCTTCCCCTGTGCCCGGCTCAGGGTTGTCTGCTTTCCGAGAGCTGCATCTTCCTGCTCCCACCTCTAGCTCCCAAGTACAGACATTATCCTGCCTCACATAGGAAGGGCCAGCCTGCCCTCCAGGAAAGTCCCCCCACCCCCCGGCCACACATCCTGAACTAGCTAGCCTTTTCCACGCTGGTCCTGGCTCCTCCAGGCCTACAAACACCCCTGGGGTCTGACCAGGGAGGGTCTTCCAAGCGTGGCCCTGAATCCAGTGGTGAGGTAACACCATACTCATCATTCTAGAACATTGTCCAGTCATGGTGCAGCATCTCTGCCTTGAGCAGCCATCTGGGGTGCAAGTCCCCACCTGACATAGCAGGGAACATCCAGGGTACAGGACAACCTCTGGCCCGTGAGCCCATTAGCTTTCACAGCAACCCTGCATGGGGAGAACAGTACTCTCGCCATTTGATAAACCACAGGGCCAGCTCAGAGAGGCTGAGTGACTTGTCCAAGGCCACACAGGATATCGGAGGCATTGCCAAGTCTCCTGACTCCCGATTCCCTGGTGTGCTATTGCAGGTGATAAACATGTCCCCGTGAGTGCCTCCCTGGCATGGGGGTCTCTCCATAATGGGCACTGGATGAGCCCAGCATTTGGGTTCTGAAGAGTCAATGCCATCTTTGTTTACATCCTGGCTTTCTTTTTCAACCCTTTCTTTTTGGGTACTCTTTAGTGAGTAAACATTTTACAAGATTTTCCTCCTTCCATGGCTGTGCCAGGCCTGTGAGCTGTGCCCTATACTGTCCCCATGTTACAGCCAAAGATTCTGTGGCTCCGGGAAGAGGATGGTGGCCACAGCACTGGGCAGGAGGGGTGGGCACAGGGTTCTCTGCCATGCTGACCCAGGGGCGGGGTTCCGAGACCCCCTCTGTAGGCATCCAATTGATTCATAGCTCTCCTGGCTTTTCCAGGGCCCCACCCTTGGGTCACAGATGGGGCCACCGAAGCACTGTGGGTGCTCAAGCTCCCATGGAAACCCCTGCTCCATTCTGGGCTGAAACTTTGCTCCTGAAGTCCCTCATTGGCACGCCACCTCCTGGCCAGCACCCTCTCTGCCAGCCTCAGATGTCCCTCAGGGCACCTGAATGGGGTTCTGACCCCAGCAGTGCAGGTCATCAGGTGCATCTGGGGAAGGAGCTCCTGTTTCCAGGATCAGCAAACAGGGAGGCTGGGGGCATGGATCTTAGGCCAAGGCCTGGGTTGCTGGCAAAGCCCAAGCTCTGGCTTATCCTCTCTGGCAGGCCTGGGTCCTGGATGCTTTGGATGTGGCCCAAAGATCAAGAACCTTTGCTTCGATTGCTTCCTCTGCCTCCGATGCTTGCTCAGCCTCAGAGGAGTCTCTGTGAAGTCCTTCCTCTGCTCAACCACCTTCAGTGGCTCCCCATTGCCTACAATCTAGTCCCCTAAAATCAGGCCCCAGCTTTTCTGGTTTTACCTTCTGCGTCAAGAACTCAGGATTCATGGAAGCACCCACCACTCTCCTTCTCCCACCTCCAGGCGTTGGCTCACTTTATTCCCTCTCCCGCGTTGCCCTCCCCTCACCGCCAGTTTGGGACCTCAGGGGTCTCTAAGTCAAAGGTCCGTGTGGCCAGGGAGATGGTATATGTGGGTGAGGGGGAGCGTGCTCCCCGCCTTCAGGAGGCAGCTGCTGATCAGACTGTCCTCACGAGCACGGCGCGGGTCCGTCAGAGCTGGATAGTCCCCGTTTTTGAGAGAAACCAGACTTTTCCTCTGCAACGCCACCTCATTTTTAGATGTTGGCAACTAGTTCTAATATTGAAAATCATTCCGTGCCCCAAACATAGACATCTGTGAACCTGCTAGGGCCCAGGGCAACCGGCTCGGGATCCCTAGCAAACTCCTTCCTGCTCCCCCCACACCACAGGCCACATTAACACCCCCATCTTTCGAACCTGAGGACTCATATTAGCTTCACCCAAAGCAAGAACATCATGCAATCACAGCTGTGATGTGCCAATTTATGCTTTTTAATGTCAGTGAGGGCATGTGTTGCTGTCCACTGGTGGACTCCAACTCTTTGAGGGACAGAACACAGCCAAGCCTAAGGGGATCCTCTTCTGGGAAAAAGCGTGTCCCGTGGGGGCACCGGCTGGGTGCCCGGCCCCATGCTGAAGGCTGTGCAGGCGACCTCTCAAAGAGAGTCCTCTGCGGGCTTTCCCACAGCCTTCTGGTGGGAAGTCCTCCTGCTGTCTAGCCTGAATCCCACCGGCTTCCCTTGGCCATCTTTCTCCTTGCTTCCGTGGAAAGGAGCCGGCCTTTGTCTCGGAGAGGCGGCTCTGGGACTGGCTCCCCTCGCCTTGCCTGAAAGCGTGGGGAGCGGCGGGGGGGGGGGTCACTGTTCAAGCAGGGTGCGGGGTCGACAGCCTCCTCTTCCCCTCCCCTGCAGGTCTTCAGGGCACCCTTCTTTCCTTCCATCCATCCATCCGTTTGTCCATCCGCGCTCTCCCAGGACCCCATTCTGTCTTGTTTCAGAGGCCACCCGCTGCCGCCACGCCTGAAACAAGACAGAAAGGTGGGCGGCTGGGTGGGCAGGCGGAGGGAATGAATGAGCAGGTACGTGAGTGCGGGAATGGGCAGGGAGGCTGGGGGCAGAGCCGGCAGCCGGGGAGGGCACTCGGCCCCCAGCCCCTTGGGCTCACCCCGCAGCGTGGGTTGAACAGTGTCCCCCCCAAAACATATATTCAGTTCTACTCCCTGTGACATGTGAAGGTGACCTCGTTTAGAAACAGGGTCTTTGCAGATGTCATTAGTTAAGGATCTCAAGATGAGCTCGGCCTGGATTTAGGGTGGGCCTTACCTCCCTGGTTGGAGTCTTTACAAGAGAAAGGAGAGGAGATTGGAGAGATAAGAAAAGGCGGGGACCGGAGGCCGGAAGCCTGTAGGACACGGAGCACTGCCACCAGAAGCCGGGAGAGAGGCCCCGCACGGTTTCTCCCCAGGGCAGCAGGAAACAACCCAGCCAAGGCTTCGAGTTTGGGCGTCTGGGTCCCGAGCGGTGGGAGAGCACATTTCTGCTGTTTGCAGACGCCCGGTTGGCGGTCCTTTGCTCCGGCAGCCCTGGGGCACCAACACACCCGGTTCCTGGCCCTGGAGCCCCCACGCCCACCCACGCCCCACACGCTCCGCGCTCGCGGGGAGGCCCCGTCAACAGCTGGCTGAGCACCCGAACCCCTTCCAGGGGAGCAGAGAGGAGGAGAAGAGGGGGCCAGGGCTTCCGTCTTTAGAGCTCTCCAGGGCCCCTACTCCAGGGAACGTTTTCTCCACAAGGGCTACCAGGCCACATGGACACTCTTTGCCGCCCCATGACAACTCGCTCTGTGACCTTGGGCTCATCCCTGTGCCTCTGCCAGCCCCAACAGCCATATGGGGCTCACTGGTCTATGCAGGGTCTCCACGAGACCAAGCAAGCTCTGCGCTGAGGCCTGCCCCCCCCACAACGTCTCAGTATCATACAAATCCCATCTCTTCCTGCGGCCCCGCGGCCAGACCCCAGCTCCGCGGTGGCCGGCCCGGCTGCACTCCAGGCTGCGGCGGCCATCCTCACCCGCAGGGCGCTCGGAAAGACCACCATCAGCCTAGTGGAGCTAGGGTGGACAGCCGGAGGACACCTAAGGCCCAGGATCTGAGGGCCCGTGTCCAGGGTGGAGTAGGGCCACTGCCCACAGGCCCTGAACTCTGCTCTGCTCACTTTTAGAACGTATCACAGGCCTGGCACATAGCAGGCCCTCTGTGACCTTTGTGAATGAATAAAAGCCCTGCATGCCACATGCTTTTCCTGAGGCCATGAAATGAAGGGAGGACAGATTTGGGACCCTGGCTTTCCCCTCCTGGCCTCCATCCATCCCCTGATACTAGTGCGGGGCTGGGATAAAAGGCAGCACATAGCTCCCCATCCCACCCATAGATGAGGGGAACCCTCCTGGCTCAAGACAGCCAGAGTTGGGGCGCCTGGGCGGCTCAGTTGGTTAAGCAACTGCCTTCGGCTCAGGTCATGATCCTGGAGTCCTGGAATCGAGTCCCGCATCGGGCTCCCTGCTCAGCGGGGAGTCTGCTTCTCCCTCTGACCCTAACCCCTCTCATATGCTCTCTCTCTCTCAAATAAATAAATAAATAAATAAATCTTTAAAAAAAAAAAAAGACAGCCAGAGTTTATGGGACCTAGTTCCCCCAGGGAAACCCCATGCCTCTCCCCTCCCCCCTCACCCAGGGACTCTGCTTAGCCCAACCCACTGGCCCAGGGAAGCAGTGGGGGGCTCTCTCTGGGTGCTCCCAGAGGAAGGGGGTCCATCCAACTTGGCCTCAGAACCGTTTTCTCTGCACAGAAAGTGGAAGGCAAGCCTGGTCCCCCTGGTCCCCCGCCACGTCTCTCCTCAGCCCCTAGGAGGGGCCTCTAGCCACCATCTGGCGCTGGGCCAGGCTGACCTGAGGGGAAGTCTGCAGGGCATGGGCTCTCTCAGGTCAGGAGGCCCTGACTGAACCCCCCAAGCAAGTCCAGGCCTGGCCGGCAACCGGCCCACTGTGCGCTCAGACCCAGCAACCCTCCCCGAGATGCCCATGAGGACCCACGAAGTTGTCACTTACTCGTCTGCACGTCACACGTTCCAGGGGAGTCAGGCTCCTGCATGAGGGGAAAGGGGGAAATGACGTGTCTCCTCTCCAGCCTCCCTGCCCCCGCCACCCCTCCCAGCACACACAGAGGCAAGAGCGTTTCCCTCATCCCCTACCAGGACACCTACAGAAGGTCCCGTTGCTCCCGGCTTCTCTCCGGCCTGTTTCTCCCCTCCTGCCTCAGAGCTTACCCCCTGCTCCAGGCTCTCCCCTCCCTGGATCACCACTGGGTTCCCCCCACCCAGCTCCTCTGCCTGGCCTGGGCCCCCTGCCTGAGATGCCTGCCTACCTACCACTCTCTTTGTGGGGAAAACCTCCTCCCAGCCCTCCTGGGGGGGGGTGCCTCAAAGCTCTATCTGCAGGAGAGGCCTCTCCCCACCAGCACCACGCCTTCCCCTGCCCCAGCCCTGTCGTCAGGAACCCCTCTGCTCTGTGAGGGCATCTTCATGGACACAGTGTTCCTGCCACCAGGCCCCTCTTTCCTCGTCTTGGAAAACTCCAAAGCTGCATTTCCTCTGCCACCCGCAGAGGCCACTTGGACACAGAGCCTGAGGGCTCAGCCTGCAGGGAAGAGGGCCCTGAGGCTTCTTGTCCACCTCCTGTTGCAGCCAGGACTGGGGCCCAGGCCTCCGGCCTCCCAGTTCCAGGTGCTGCTGTCAAGATACACAATTGTCTCCAAGGGAGAAGGGCCAGGTGCCAGGTCCTTTTTTCTTTTTTTTTTTAATAAAGATTTTATTTATTTATTTATTTAGAGAGAGCATGCGCAGGGGGGGTGGAGAGGGAGAATCTGAAGCAGACTCCCTGCTGAGCTCGGAGCCCGAAGCAAAGCGGGGCTCAATCCCATGACGCTGAGATCATGACCCCAGCCGAAATCAAGAGTTGGCCGCTAAACCAAACGAGCCACCCAGGCGCCCCCAGGTGCCAGGTTATTGGAGAAGGAAAGAGGTGACAGAGGTCTTGCTCCCTCACCCACCCATGCTGGAGTTCTAGGTTCTCAGAAATGCACCCAGGGCCCTCTGCTTTCCTGCAAGCCCCACTTCTTTCCAGAACATTCCAGGCTTCTCTTGTCTCTGGGCCTTTGCGTATGCTGATCCTTTGCCTGAAGGGCTCTTCCTATACCACCCCCCTTCACTTTTACCCACCCCCATCCTACTTCCCCATCAGGTCTCAGCTTGCAAGCCACCTCCATCAGGAAGCCTTCCTTCATGCTCCTGGGGAGCTCCTCCTCTGCACCCCACATCCTCTCTTCCCTCCATGGAAGCATCTCCCCCACTGACTGTGACCCCTGGTTAGCAAGGCTGGGCCAGCGCCCCTCAGCCCTGTGGCCAAGGTGCCTCAGAGAGTGTGTGGAAGAAGTGTGAGCCGAGCAGACGGGCCGGCTACATGGGCTACGCTCCCGTGACAGGCTCCCTTCTTCCTTCTGTGCCCCGCCCCCAGACCACCCATCCTTGTCTGAGCTCCCAAGACCAATGCCCCACTCTCCCAGCCCAGCACAGACCTGCTCCCCAGCCTTCCCGTGGAGCACGGGCTGCGGCAAGGCCATCTCCAGCCTGTGCAGGAGCCAAGCCATCAACCTGCATGAGGGAGAGAGCAGGCCATGTCTGAGCGGCAGGGCTTGTGGGGAAACTGAGTCCAGGGTCGGGTCCCTCCCACGGCAGACAGCAAGCCCACCGGAAGGCAGACCAGAACCCAGGTCTCCAGCCCCAAAGACCATTGCCCTCCTCCCTGGCCTCCCTAGGCCAACCTCTGGGGTACTGCTCTGACCCCAGCAGGTAGCTCAGCAGCCCCCCACCCCACGCTGGAGGTGCATGCGGGTCTCTCCCACAGTGCCAGGCCAGGAGCATTTGGGGACATGTATCCTGATTTTTAAGGCATGCATCTTTCGGTTCAGCAACTCCAGTTCCTCAGATTTACCCCCACAGATTTACTTGCACGTGAGCAAAATGGTGCCCGCACAAGGCCACCGAGCATAACAAGAGGAGAAACAAACCTAAATGGCCAGCAAATGGCTAAGGAAAAGCTGATGCAGCCACATCATGGGGTACTTGGCAGCTGCTGAAAGAATGAAGCAGGCCCATTTGTATAAAACCACCTCTAAGAGACACTTTTTGGTGAAAAAAGCAAGAGGCGGAGCAGTACAGAGATCTTGCTGTTGTCTGGTACATGTGTTTGGCTAAAGGAGAAATGGATTCCCCGGCTTGTGTGTGCATACAGAACATGTGGGGGGACAGTGGCTGACGGGGCTGCCCGGGGAAGGGCCCCTGGGAATCCGTTTAAATTTCCCCCGGGGGGCATATGTTTCATTTTAAAAAACTAGTTTGGTGAAGTGTTGGGTGTGGGGCTGAGGCAAAGTACTGATCCTGCTCCCCAGGAAAGGTGTAGCATTTGGGGGGCTCACCTGGCGGGGTCACCGGGGGGCAGCAGGGCGGAAGCCTGGGAGCTGGGCTGGGGTTCTGAGGTCAGCTCCTCCTCGGTTTCCAGGGGGCCAGCCATGGGGATGCAGGGGCTCTCCGGGGCCTGCAGCACACTCTCCGTTTCCAAGGTGGGTTCTGGGGGCTCTACGCAGTGGGGAGAGCAAGAGTCTAAAGAGGACAAGGCAGGGCTCCATGCGACCCCTCATGGGCACCGGGGGCCAGATTCGAGGCACCAACGCATGACTGAGTCGGGAGCCCCTTGGGTCCACTCCAACCACCCCTCTCATCAGACAGACATGGAACCGAGACCCAGGAAGCTCAAGGCGCTTACCGAAGACCTCACAACACCTTCCCACACTACTGGCTTCCCAACCTGGACTGGGGAGGGGTTCCAAGGCCCACCACAACAGCCCACTCCCAGTGAGCCTGGGTGACGGCTAAGGTCCTCCCCCAGGATCCCTCAGGCCCCAGTTGCACCCCCAGCCCAGCCTGTGACAATGCCGGGCAGCCCTTCCCAGGTCCCCTCCCTGTACCTGGGCCCAAGGCAGCATCTGTAGGCTCATCTCTCTGGTCCTAGAGCAGAAACAGGGAGTGGGGTCACGGAACAAAGCAAGCCCTGTGCATTCCCTCCCCTGCCGGCTGTGCCCAGGGCAGCTGGGGCAGGTGACAGGGGGCTTCATCTATCCCCACGAACCCCCTTGCTTTTTGCAGTCACTCCTCTCCATCAAGAACCCTCCAGGGAGGCGAATACCCCCTCTATGTGTCCCAGGGGGTGGGGATAGCCTGCTGGGTCCTTCCTGGGGCCCCAGAAAGCCTCCCAGGTGGTCATCTGCCTGCTTCCCCTTTCCCTTGACTTACCTTGGAGGTTTTGGGGGGCTGAGGCAGCACTTTCTCCAGATTCTGCTCAAGCCACCTGAGCAGCCAGGGCCCAGACCTGCAAAGGGGCCAGCGGTCAGTGGAACAGCCGAGTCACACTGACCTGAACGTCTGTTGGAGTCCCAGGTTTCGACCAGCCCTTCCTCACCTCTGCTCCCATTGTGCACAGTGGAGACCTTGTATTGGATACTCTGGAAGGGCCTCAGGTAAGGGGGGAATCTTCAGCCAGCCTCAAATTCTGACCCATGGCTGGACCAGGCCCAGAACTACAGGCCCAGCCCTGGCCACCTGGGCAGCAGGTGAGGAATAGGGGCTGCCTGGGAACCTGAATGCTGCATGGGGGGGGGGGTCCCCGTGTCTGGCCCAGACGGGTCTGGCTCCATGGGTCCGGGAGTGGGGCAGTCACACAGGGCCCGATACTTAGAAGGGCCCAGTTTGGGTTTCATGCTCTTATCACAGTCTTAAACTTAAATTTTTAAACAAGATTTATTTATTTATTTGAGAGAGGGAAAGAGAGAGCATAAGCATGAGGCGCAGAGGCAGAAGGAGAGAGACTCTCAAGCAAACGCCCCTCTAAGTGTGGAGCCTGACGCAAGGCTCGATCCCACGACCCTGAGATCATGACCCGAGCCAAAACCAAGAGTCAGACGCTCAACTGACTGTGCCACCCAGGCGCCCCAAACTCTTATTAATTTTTTTTAAAGGAGTTCTGCCTTTTAATTTTGCACTGGGCCCCACACATTACATAGCTGGTCCTGGGGCCAATGGGTCCCAAATCCATCTGGCCTCCAGGCAGCCCCTCCATCTTCAGGGAAGCTCCATGTTCCCAGGGGAACCCATCCCCCCAGGTTTGGCCCAAAATATAGCTGGCAAATCTTCTGGGGGCCTTCATCCCTAAATTGCTTTACTGGTCTTGTGAGTCAGCAGAGTGGCCCTGGGAACCCCTGACCTGGGCAGCCTCCAGGAGACAAAAAGAAATAGACTGTGAGCTAGAACAATGAGTGAATGAATAAAGTACGTTCATTCATTCATCCCTTCTGTGCTGAGTTCCCCCCTTATGGCAGGCACTGTGCTGGGCACCGGGGTTCAACAGCGACGAGACAAAAACCCCTGCCCTCAGAACCCAACAGTCTAACAAATGAATAAGGGAAGGGAGGAATGAATAAAGATGAATGCAGAGACTGCACACTGGAGGCTTCGGGCTTAGTTTGGGGGTCCACGGGGCTCAAAAAACTTTTCAATTAGTTGGCAACAGCTAAAAATCAAGGATTACATAAAAACCTAAATTTCTAGCTTCTCTTGGAAAACTGGAGGATTGGCCACCTTGGGCCTGAACTCCTCCGAGGCAGAGGCAGCGGGAGCTGGCAGGGACCCTCCTGGACAAGAACGTGGGCTCCCCTGTTTGCCATAGCCCTTACCCAGCTCGCTTCCCTCCCCGGCAAGACAGCTGCCCACCTTGGTCAAGTCTGAGCAGTCCGAAGCTATTGCCAACTGGGAGGCCAAGCTGGGTACCTCTATGTCCCCCACAGTGGTCCCGGGCCTGCCTCTGGGCTCCACATGACACCCACGTACACCAGCCCATCTATGAGAACTCATCCATGCCTCCTCCCCGTGGCCCCTCACGTGGGGATCTCCCAGAAATCAGCACAACAAACCATGGGACGCACAGGGCCCTTTGGCTCCATTTTATGGATGAGAACAGGGAGGTCCAGAAGAGATGAGAGGCAAGTCCAATGTCACACACTGAGGTGGCAGTGAACCTGCTTCTGAACCCAAGACCCTCAGTGCTGGGCACATTGTTCCCCCCAACTCACACACTACACATGAGGCTCAGGGGTTCCCAAACCAGTGCTCAGGGATGGGGACTCACCCAGTGTCCTGGGCCCCAGGGGCCTCCCCGAGTCCGTCTGCAGGAGAGAGGAAGGTGGTCAGCAGCAAGAAGCCCGCCTGGACCCCCTCCTCCGGACAGCCCCGCTCAAACCTAGCCTGGAATCTGGGGCCAGTCTGATGAGAGTCCCCCGCCTGTGGGCTCTCTGCAGGGGCAGGGCCCATCCCAAGCTCCCCCAGTGCCATCCCCGAAAAGCCGCCCTGCCTTCTGGCCTTACCTGAGCCCCCAGTGCTGCATTGCCCAGACGTCTGTGCTCCTGCCTGCCAGGACAGATGGTCACATGAGGACAGAGAGCCCAAACGCAATGGCCTCCCACCCCGCCCACCTCGGCTCCCGGCCCCGGAAGTACCTGAGCAGGGGCCTCCGAGCCAGCAGCAATGCTCGGCGCTGGCCCGCTGCTGGGGACGGGCTGTGGGATGACCTTCTCCATGCCCTTCTTGAGCCAGCTCAGCACCCACCCGCTGGAACTGCTGAGGGACAGAGATACAGACTCACCCGCAAGGTCCCCAGCCCCTCCCTGGTCCCAGGGGGCCCTCCCCAGCGTCCTAAAGAAATCGGTTTGAAACCCAAACATCTATCTCCCCAGTGTGAGACTTCAGATATGCCACTTTCCCCCTGAGTCTTGTGTCCAACTCTGGAAAATGGGGAACACCGACCCTTGGAGAGGCCAGGTATGTCCAGGGCCATCCTGAGCCCACCCCCATCAGATGCTGGGTATAAAGCAGCCAGGGAAGCATCCTGCTTCCCCCTGAGCCTGGCTCCAGGGGTCCCCTCTTATACAGGGGTTGAGGGTTTCCTATGGGGTGTTTCCTTGTGGCTGAGGCTGGGCAGCCTCAATGGGAGGGTCACAGACTCACTGCCTGAGGCTAGCCCTCCACAGGTAGGCTCTCTTGGATAAGTGCTAATGGTCTAAAATGAGCCAACTTTGAGATGTCATCAGTTAGGAAAATGGGAAGCTCTGGCCACACTGGATCTGCATTTCTCCCAAGCACTGAGAACACTCTGGCCCCTACTCACTGTTTCTCTTGGTCCCATTGTCCATTTGGCCCAGGAGATCCCTGTCCATTGCATGAGGCTCCCTTCAGCCAGTTCCCAGGATGTTCTGGGCATCTGGGCAGTTGTCTGTGAACGACTAGCGACCTGAGAGCAAGGCTAGTCCCCACCCCCAAGGGGCTCCCTAGTTTTGGGGGGGAAGGGGGGCTGGCCCCCAGGAAAGGGGAGGGTGGTGTGCTACCTGTTCACTTCGGGAACCATGGCGACCTGGACCTGGACGGATGTAGGCAGAGTAGGGACAGCCTCCCGGATTTCTGGAAAAGAGTCCCCCATACTTTAGATCTGGAGCCTCAGAGTTGCCCGTTTCTACCCTGCTAGGAAAGTCAAGGCAGAAGCAGGGGAAAGGGGAGGGCCCCAAGGGAGTCAGAAGGCCAGGGTTCCAGCTCAGCTCAACTAAAAACTCCCCAGGAGCCCAGCCCTCAACTTCTCTGAGCCTCGGTTTCTTGTCTGTGAAAGGGCCCGCCAGCCTGGGCTTCCGGCACTCACCCTGAGGGTCTGGGTCAGCTGCAGCCAATTCCTCCCCCTCCAACGGCTCTTCAGCTGGCTGGAAGGTTCAAGCAGGACCACGTAAGCCCTCAGTGAGACCAGCCTGGTTCAGGCAGGGGCAGCGTCTGACCCCCCCCGTGACAGACCCCCTCACCCCACAGGACCAAGCAGCTCTGTTCTCACAACCGTCCCTGTAAATCCCGGCAGCTCACCTTCGGCTTGGGACGCTTCCTTCCTCACGACCCCAGGGATCCCTCATCCAGGGTTGGGCCCTCACCGCACCCCCCCCCCACCAAGGTAGCCCCTGGGCCTACCACACCCCCCAGGAAACTGCCCCACTCCAGCGGGCTGAGAACAGGGAGGAAGACTGGAGCAAACTGAGGGGGACAGGGAGGTGAGAGGACCCCCGCCCCACCTAGGCCCCCGCCAGAGCTCTCCCTCTCCGCTGGGCCAGACCTTCCATCCCCCTCCAGTAGCTGGGGGGCATTCAGCACACCTGCCGCTCCTACTGCTGCGTGCACACACGTGTGTGTACAGACGTGCACGCTCACCGTGACGTGTGAGTGTGTGAGCTCACGTAAATTTCCACACACGCACAGACGCGGGCATACCTGTGCGCACATATGTATACATGCAGTAACACGGAGATGGTGTGTACACACATAAACAGACACAAAACCAAGTGTATGCCCACACGTGCGTGTGTACGTGCAAGACGCAAAACCACGTGCGTGTACACTTGTATGTGCATGCACACCCACCGCACGTGCGTGTGCACACGGGCACATGCGAACATATTCATATGCACATGTGCACACATGCAGACGTACACATGTGCAGATACCTGCAAGTATCAGACACAGACAAACGTGTGCATATGCACACACAGACATTTGCATATATACACAGATGCCTTTGTGTACACACACGCACATACACATGCTCAGTCACATAGACATATACACACGTACACACACTGACACACACGTATTCATAAGCAATCCTTTCATGTGTGCATCAACACACATGCACGTAGACAAACATACATGTGCATGTATACCTGCACACGCAAAGTTCTGCGTCCGAACATGCATAGATGAGCAGACATGCACAGATGTACAAAGTATGTACATACACAAATATGTGCACACACAAACACATGAATACATCCACAGACTCAGAAACATTTGCATACAAACACACACAGCATGCCCCACATATACACGGAACCACAGGGACACCAATGCATGTGTTCCCTGGGGGAACTAGGTCCCATACACATGCATGTAAATAGTGTGTGTGTTCACATGCACACAGTTTGCTAATGCGTATGTACGCACAGACATACCACTAAGGACACAGGGCATGCACATATGTGTACACGTGTGTGCGCATGCGAACACTATGCACACGAACCCTATACCTGGGTAGTCACTGTTTCCTGAACGTGCCCTGCACTGCCCAGGACTCGCCCTTCCTCTGCCAGGCACGCCCCACTGCTTCATCTCCAGTCACACTGGGCCCAGCCCACCGTGTCTGGGAAGCACTCCCCCACCAGCTTCCACTCTCCAAACTTAAGATGATTCTCTCCCTCCTCTGAGCTCCCATAGTTCTGTCTGGTACACTTGTTTGGCCCTCCCGGGAGGGTAGAGCTGAGCCCAGTGTTGGAGTCCCTGCATTTCCTCATCACCTCTGTCTGCTGGTAGAATGACCTGGCCAGTACCTGTCTGCTAACCCCTGGGGGCGATGCCTTATTCAGCCTCATGCTCCCAGCAGAGCGCTCAGGCCTGGCATCAATTAGAAGCTAAATCAAATCTGTGTAATTGAGCTTCTGGGTTAGTTGTCATCAGGCTCCTGAATGGATGGGAGGCAGAACTGGCAAGTTTGGATGAGCTGGAGTCCCCCTGTGGAAGGTCCCTGGGGGGCAGCTGACCCACGCTGAGAATCCCCTGAGCCACTAGGCCCGCATGCCCTCCCTCAGCCTCAGTCTCTTACCGGGGATTCGTCCCCTCGCTCAGCCTCCTCGGGGGCATTTTCAGGCTCCGGCTCTGGTTCCGGCTCCACCTGTGGCTCTGGTTCTGCCCCCTCCGCCTCCGTCTTGGTCTTCTGAGGTGTCCCTGGGGGCTGAGGCAGCACCCTCTGGACCCAGCTCAACATCCTGACACCTGCAGGAGACAGAGTCCTTAGGCCTCCCCAGAGCACCCACCATTGCTCCCACCACTGGGGGGCCACTTTTGTGGGTCACACATTTCCCTTTTCTCTCATTCATCTTTCCGACATTTCTACAAATTATACCTCCAGGTATTCACTTGATAGAAATACTCAGGCAAAAAAGAAAAGAAAAGAAAAGAGAAAAGAAATACTCAAGCCAAAAACATGTGTATAAAGAGGCTGGTTGCCACAGTGTTATAGCAAAAAAATGAAAAGCATCCAAATATTCATCAGTAGGACCCTGTTTACTAGAAAATACGTAAATGTTCATTTGTAAGAGAGACAGGTATTAAATTACAATACATCCAGTAATGGAATATTATGGAGCCATAAAAAAAAGTGGCTCTATTTGAACCAGTACAGGAAGATGTACATGCGCTGGATGCCAGTCATGACCAAATCAGTTAAACTCTCTGTGCCTCAGTGTGCTTGTCTGTAAAATGGGGATGTTACAGAACCTATCTTGTGGAGAGGATTGTGAGGATAAAAAAAACCAATACAAACATGACGGGCACACACTGGAAGCTTCATAAATGTTGGCTATGACTATTATTTGGTGTCAAGCAAAAAACACCAATTATAGAATGTATCATGTTCAGCATGATCCCAAGATAAATTTAAAAAAATACATTATGAATAGCATATGAATGAAAATATTTTAACATAAACATTAACCTATTTTCATGATTTAAAAACATTTAAGATGATAGTCACATCCCCTTTTCAAGATGTATTGTCCTACCTTATTTGGGTCCAGTTTCTGGCATCATTTCCCTTCTGGGGTTGGGGGGCCTCTGCCCTTCTGACTAAACCCTTGCGGGTTGGCCCGGCCCAGTGGGCGCCACACAGGTTAATATGTGCAAACTCTCCCCCTCGAAAGGGCCCTTCTGAGGTGATGCCCAACATGACAGAGGGCCTCTCTGTCCCTCCTCTGCCAGGGACCCTGGCCCCATGCTGAAAAGGACAGGCAGAAGGCCCAGGATCCCTGCCCCAGTGCCCAGCTCCCCACAGCCCCCGGCCATGCTGCCTGCCCTTCTACTCACAGCCCTGACTTCTGTCCCTGCTCGGGCCTCAGCCGCCCAGCTCTCCTGGGAGAGGCTGTGGTGAGGGGCAGAGCTCCGGGTGGGAAATCAGATCTCTGACTCAGCGTCAAAAAGGTGAACCTGAGCCAGACATGAACCCCTCGGGTCTTCCATTCCCTGTGGGGTGGGGGCAGAGACCCAGTGATTTCCAAGGTTGGGAGAGCCCAAGATCATATGTTTAGGAAAGCCGAGTCCACCGACGAGGCCAGCCCCAGGCAGCCCCATGAGCCCAAACGGAGCTAAGTGTCCTCCACCCCAGATCACACTCATCTTCATTCTCCCCACTGGGCACCAGCCTCAGGAAGATAAGCGCTACCACTGTACAGCTAAGGAAACAGAGGCACAGAGAGATCAGTAGACTTGCCCAACGCCACACAGCCGGTAAGTGGCCAAGCTGAGTCACACTCAGGTCTGCTGACCTCCAGATGTCCCACATCTCCCCGTGGTATTGACATGTGCTCAGGGTTGGCTTCTGCAGGCCAGTCCTGCAGACCCTTTCCCAGTGGGCGGCACTTCTGGTTTGTGTTTCTGAACCTTCTGGAAATGACCAGGGAAGCCTTCCCCATTCCCAATTTTTCTTCTTCCCCCAGACCCAATCATTTCCTCCCACATGGATATATTTGCACATCCCTGCTGATTCCACATTGATAAGGGAGGCGAAGGCAAGAAGAGGGAGCTGAGAGCCCAGGGTCACTATGGTGCTGGGACCACCAGCCTTTCAGAATCTTCTGGGCAGCTGGTGAAAACACAGATTTCTAGGCTCCCCTCAACCCTCTGCGGGACCGGGAATCTGCATGTCACAAGCTGCCTTGAGGATTCACTGGGGTTTGAGCCCCACAGGCGGAGAGGGAGGCTCCAGATTTCCAGCCTTGCCCTATCCTAAATGTCTTGCTAGAAGGAGAGCATGGGGATCCCACCAGAAGTCCCACCGAGCCACCACTTCATCCTGACTTACCTGCTCAGATGCCGACCACCAGGCAGGAATTGCCTTCTCCCCGCCACCGGCTGCTGGTCTCTCAGACACAAGGGGGGATTAGCTGGCAGCAGCGGGCCGTGTGCAAGGGATTAGAAGGTGCCCAACAGGGGTGGGGAGGTGACGGTGGAAGACAGGAGCTCCATGGGCAGGCAGCCAGCGGCAACCTAGGCCATCCAGGGGCCAGCAGGGATCTAGGCCCCGGGGGAGGAGCCCCACTTGGCCCTGGTTGGAGCAGCATGAGCTGCCAGGGGACCCAGGGGACCACACACCTTGGCCAAGCCACAGAGTGGCCAGTGGGAGAATAACAGCTTTGGGTCCCTGTGTGAGGGGAGTGAGGTGCTGGGGGCGGGGGGAGTGATCACACGGGGCCCTGCATGAGTGAGACTTGGCCTATGCCCCGCTCCCTGAGCTGAGCAACCTGGAGGTAGCAGAGCCCCTGGGGAGTAGGCAAAGTCAGATGGGCCTGGGGGAAGAGGAAGGGGCTCTAGGGTGAGGAAAATGAACAAACTTTGGCCATACACAGTTGGGATGACCCTCATGTGCTTATATATGGAGAGAAAGAAGCCAGACTCAAAAGACCCTGATGAGCCGTACAGACAAAGCTCAAAAGGGGCAAAACTAGCCCGTCTTGTCTCTGGCTGCAAACATACGTAGTAAAACGACCAGGCAAATCCGTGGTGATGTTTTATAGCCAGAAAGCGGTTACCTCTGCAGGGGGTTGAGATGGGGAAGGGGTATGTGGAAGCTTCTAGGGGCTGGCAGAGCCCTCCCTGTTTCTTGCTTTCTTTAGCTGGCACCAATTTTTTAAAAACAACTTATGAGGTATAATTTCTATGCCATAAAATTCACCCGTTTTTAGTAAAGTGACTGAGCTAGGCAATTTGCACCACCCAGTTTTAGACCATTGCCATCGCCCCGATGAGACCCTTCATGCTTGGTGGGAATCACTCCCATCCTCAGCCACAGCTCCGGACAGCCACCAGTATGCTCTCCAGCCCCCCAAATGGGCCTTTTCTGGACATTTTCTATAATGGATCATACAACATGGGGAGTGTTTTTGTGTCTGATTTCTTTCATTTAGCATAATGTTTTTGAGGATCACCCACATGGAACCACGTATCAGGACTTCGTTTCCTTTAAATTCCTGAGTGTTCCATGGGGGAGGTTATATCACAGTCTATGAATCTACTCACTAGTCAATGGACACTTGGGTTGTTCCCACCTATCGGCTATTTGAAATCATGCTGCTGTGAACATTTGTGCACCAGCTTTTGTGTGGACATATATATTTTCAGTATGCTTGGGAAGATTCCTAGGGGTAAAACTGCTGCGTTCTGTGGTAATTTTATGTGCTGTGTTTTATGAAACTGCTAATCTGTTTTGCAAAGTAGTACCTCTTGTCTTGGCCTGAATAAGAGAATGTGGGCTCTCGCCTTAGAAATTAGTAGTTACATTATATATTTACACACTTGCTGTATTTTGTTGTATTTTATAACTTTAAAAGACTTAAAAACAAATCGGGGGTGGGGTCGTGAGTAGAGACAACTCTGGGAGAGTTTTCTCTAAGGGGTGGGGCTTGGGGTACTCTCTGGGGGGGCTGTCTGGAGCCCTGGAGGTGGAACAGCAAGGGAGCCAGATCCTGCATGACCCTCCCAGAAGAGGTCTCCCAGGACCCAGCAGTCTCAGCACCTGGGCAGGTGTCTGTGGAGCATATTCCAACACAGGCATATAAGTTAGACTCTCCCCAGGTCGCCTCACCTATGGGGCCCAATGCCAGTGGTTGTGACCAGGGTGGCGGGCAGGCCCCAGGGCTTTTGGGTACTGGGCTTAGGCACTCATGACCTCTCTTTCCTGGGAAGGAGGGAGGGAGGCTGCAGGCCTGCAGGGGCCCAGGGCTAGAATATCACCTGCTAATCCCTAGCCTGCTGAGGCCACCGCTCTCCCTGATCGCTTTATGCTGACCCTGGACACTGGCCAACCGCTAATCGCCACCCTTGGAGACCCAAGGTCTGGGAGGCAGGGTAGTGCCCTCTTCTCGCAAGTCTGCAGGACGGCTCACGGTCTCCCTACATGGCAGGGCCTAGGGTCTTGCCTAACATAGAGCCTTGAGGCCCAGAGAGAGACAGCGACTAGCCCAGGATCACACAGGATGCCCTGGCTTACCATGGCATGGCAACCTCCAGGGTGGCTTATGCTAACGCCCAGGAGACAGCAACTTTCAGGAAAGCCAAAAGTGGGAGCCAGTGCACAACACCCCAGGTAGCTGGCTCCTCTCCTCAGAACCAACAGTTGCTAGGGTTGCTGAGGAGTGGGTGCCCTCACAATCAGGCGGCAATGGGCGTTGTCTCTCTGCAGAATGTTCCTTTATTCTCCTATTGTGTAAGGCACTGGGGCCAGTCCATTTCCCTGCCTCTTCTCCCTACTGAGCCGTCAGAAGAGCAGGAAACCCTCACAGGCCTGTGTACCTGCAGACCAGGTAGCCGCTGTTGGGGGGGTCAGGAGCAAGGAGTCCTTTCTCCCCTCTTCTCCCTGCCCCACGTCCCTGTCCTCCCTGGGGAGGCCCACCCCCTGAGACAGCTTCCCTAGGCCCAGTCCCCTTACCCTCTCCCTGCTCCTCCACGGTCCAAGGTCCTCGTTCCTCCTGCGCACCTCCCACTCACCTCCACCTCGCACGTCTAATGGGGTCACGCAGAAAGGAAGTAGACTCAACAAATTCTCACTAAAGTTTCAATGACCGACAAGCCGTGGGAATAGCCACTCTTTAAAGGGAGGCACCGAGCGACCAGCAATGCTGTTCGAGTTCATATCTCTCATGCCTCGCCCCTTCTCTAAAACTTGCCTGTGTCTCCCTGTAGAATTTTGAGCAAATGCCAGATACTTTAGCTAAGGCCAGAAGTCCATAATTAGCTACCCAGAGCCAAACGGAGCTAAATTCTGAACCCACCTGCGCCTGCTGCTTCCCGATCCCGATTTAAGAACAGACTCCCATGCGGCCACTTTTAGACCGCTCGGAGCCACACACACCCTGTCCTGACCTGTCAGGGCCCTGAACACATTGTGCGCGCCCGCGTACGGGGGTGGGGGTGGGTTGACTCTGAATGTCCCTGACACCGCAGGGGGAGCCCCCAGCTCTGGGTAGTAGTGTTGGACGAGTAGAGAAATCGGCCCCGGCCAAGGTTGTGTCACCCCACAGAAGGGTGTTGGGTCGGGGTGTCTCTGCTCCTCTAGCCATGGCCCGCACCATCGACCTGGTGCCCTGGGACGACTGCTCCAAGCACGCGTACGCGTCCCCGGCCATCCTGCTGCCGCTGGAGCCGCCGCGCAACCAGCTGGCTGGCGTGAAGCAGCAGCTCTACCACCCAGCCCTGCCCAGCCTGCGCCGCATGGACATGGACTCGGTCAGGGCCTGCCTTTCCGACGAGCACTGCCGGTCCACCACCTACTGCCGCAGAGGTCTGGCCACCGGGCTGCCGCTGGCCACCGGCCCCCTCCGGGCCTTGCGGGGCGGGCGCGGGGGTGGGGGTAGGGGGGAGAAAAGCCAGGAGGGGGGCGGGGGTGGGGGTTGGGGATGGGAACCTGCCCAGGTCTCAGCCTCCGCTTCCTTATCAGGGAAATGGGGTAACAGGGCCTGCCTCATATTATGCTGAGATTCAAACGAGCTGGGAGAATAGGGGAAGGGAGGGAAAAATAAAACAAGATGAAATCAGAGAGCGAGACAAACCGTAAGAGACTCTTAATCACAGGAAACAAACTGAGGGTTGCTGGAGGGAGAGAGGTGGGGGGCTGGGGGACCTGGGTGAGGGGCATGAAGGAGGGCACCTGATGTGATGAGCACTGGGATGTTACATACAGCCCACGAATCACTGAACTCCACCTCTGAAACTAATAATACACTCTATGTTAATTAATTGAATTTAAATAAATAAATAAATAAATAACAAGCTAAGAGAAGCACTTAAAGTCATGCCTAGCACAGAGTACATGCCCAACAATAACCTAACGGTGGTTACTAACAGAGAGAGAAGTGTGCAGATGTCGCGTAGTAGGAGTGATCATAAAGCGACAGTGACAGCTTCTGCCCAATCTGCTCTCCACGTGGAAAAGGAAGAGAAAGACCCTCCTCACACTCCCCATGAATGAGAGGTAGACAGGAGAGTCTTTGGGGTGAAAGGGCCACATGCACCCAAGGAATAGCCCTTCATCAATTGAGAAGCTTGGGTGTGGAGATGGGGGTGCCTGTGAATGAATGAATGAATGAATGAATGAATACACGTTCATTTCAGCACATGTATTAAGCACTTGCTTTGTGCCTGATGCTGCCCCAGAGGGAGGGAAACAGAGAGGATAGCATGTGCAGGGCCCTGGAGGGGAAAAACTGCCCCAGGTGCTGGGGGAACTCGAGGGGTTTGGTTGGGCTGAAGGACAAGGTTGGGCAGCAGCAGGAGCTGGGGCTGGGGACCAGGGCACTGCCACTAAGCTCAGGGAACTTTGGAGGCAAAGGGGACCCTCTGAAGACTTGAAGCAGAAAAAGAGGTCTGAGCATCTGGGGGTGGGGAGGGGGTGGAGGATGGCTCAGAGGGACCAGAGGTGGATGGGGGCTGGGGGGCGGGTATGACACTGGGAAGGACCACAGTCTTCAGGAAGGAGTAACATTGTTTCAGCCACTGGAGAGGGTTTGGGAAGGTATTTAGGAGATGAAGTAACAGGATTTGGTACCAGTGTGGGTGAGGGGCAAGAGTGGGAAGTCTGGAATGATACCCAGTTTCCAGCTCAGGTGACAAGTGGGACGAAGGTGTCAGAGACTGTATGGAAATTTCCAGAGGCCCCACGCAGAGCCCTGTAGGGCCTAGATGGGAAATGCCCGAGGTGGGTGGGGAAGCAGTGAGGAGGGAGGCCCCCACACCTGACCCTTTAAGGGGCAGCCGCCACGGGGCTCCGGCTAACTGATGCGTGGGCAGGCTCAGCACGTTTCTCCCAATTTCCTGGGTTCTCTTGGAAGCCAGGAATCTAGGTTTTTAGGGACAGCTCTTGATTTAGATATGTATTTTTATTGCAAGCTTAAGCCTTTAATAAAAGTAATAGAGTCACAGGTTCAAAATTCAAATGCTGTAACAATGTAGATCTTAACATCTCCCTCTGCCATCCCCCACTTCTGCTGACTTAACAGGTAACCTGCCAGTTTCCAATGTATCCTTCCACTGTTTACTAATGCAAATACAAACATAAATTCTTTTGCTCTCCAACTTTTTGTTATGAAGATATTCAAACATAGAGAAAAGTTGAAAGGATAATACTATGGATACCCAGTGCCTTCCACCTGCTTCAGTTAATCCATTACCATATTTGATTATTCTCTCAAACACACACACACACACTCACACTCTCTCACACACACTTCAGCAAACAGTTCCCAGCGACAACAACCTCCCATATGACACAATACTATATGATCACATCTAGGAAAGTTAACAATAATTCCATAACACCTACTCTTCAGTCCATATTGAAATGTCCCAAATGACCCCTAAAGATGTCTCAGAGTTTTAAAATCCTTCCAGAACCAGGCTGCAATCTAGGATTGCACACTGTAACTGGTTGCTATGTATCTTGTTTTAGTCTGAAATAGTCCACCCACTTTCCATTTTCCAACTGGAAAATTTCCAATTTTAGTATCGGCTTTTTAGAGTTCAAAATACTTATGTTGTAGATAGTCCTACGTTGTGAATCTGAGTATTTCCTTACAATGTTGTTTACCTCGATTGTTTTCTGTAAACTAGAAACTAGGTGTAGAGGCTTGGTTAGCCAGATAAAACATTGGTGGCCAGAATCTTGCACAGGGGATGGATGCCATGTTTGCCCTAACGCTTCAGCAGGAGACACGTAATGTCATTATCCTGCTGTTCATGATGTGAGGTTTGATGACCTGGTTAAGGTGGTGACCTGGAATGTATCTTCTTCTCTGCCTCCAATCGCCTCAGTTTTAGGCGTTAAAGCAAAAGGGAGCATATACTCTTGCACACCTTGGAGGTTTCGTATGGAGAACTGCCTCTATTTATTTTAAGTAGCTGCCTAGTAAGGATGTATCACAGTGTATTTAACGAGTCCTTTAATGACAGACACTTGAGCTGCTCCGTCATTCTCTGCTCCCAACAATGCTGAAATGGGTAGATCTTTTACCCACATCATTTCCCAGTTGTACACCTGTAATGTGGGATAAATTCCCAGAAGTAGGACCAGAGGGTCCAAAGGTATGTGTATTTATACTTCTGATAGTTAATGTCAATTGCTCTCCATAGGCTGGAACCAATTAATACCCCCTCCGGCAATATTACAGCAGTGGCCCTGTTTCCAATAACTGCACTAACTTTTGGATTGTTTCCAATCTGATAGGCAAATATTGGCATCTTAATGTAGTTTGAATATGCATTCATCTTATTGTGAATGAGGCTGAGTGTCTTTTCATATGTTTTAGGGACCATCAGCATTCCTTGTGTTTGTGTGTGAATTACCTATGCATACAGCTGGCTCGTTCTTCTTGTCTTGTCTTGATTTCTAGGAACTCTTTAGGGAAATTGCACCTCATCTGTAAAATAAGTGGAAATACTTTTTTACCATTTGCCCTTTGACTCCTGTCAGTTTTGCCAAGCAGAAGTTTGCTTTTTGTAGTCAAAGTCATCAATCTGCCCTTTATGGCTATCAGATTGTGAATGAGTTGATATGGCCTTTCCCACCCCAAGGTTATAAGGGAATTTACATATTTTCCTCTAGGGTTTTTATGGTTTTGTGTTTTTTACATTGAAATCTTTGATCTACTTGGAGTTTATCCTGTTGTAAAAGTAAAAATCGATTTTATCTTGGTTTGTTTTTTTTTTTAAGTTGTCAAATATTTCCAGGAACTTTTGGAGAAAGGTCTCCTGAGGGGGCCCATGATGGCTGGTGGAGGAGACACCTCTTCTCCGCCTCTCCCTCACTCCATCTCTTCTTCAGATGACTTTGACAACGCCCACTTCACACTTTTGGGTGTCCCCAACAAACCCCTGCAGTGCTTGGTGAGTGTCCTTTGCTCCTGGCCCCGGGGTTTGCTCAGGGGAGAGGTTGTGAAGGTCCTGCCCGCTCCCAGCCCCAAGTACCTCGGGTTCTTCAGCTGCCTGCTTGGGCCCCTGCCCCCTTCCCATCTCCTTTGCGGGGCTTCAGGCTCTCTGCCAAGCGCCTGGGTCGGAAGGGCCAAGTTGTCAGCCCCAGGCTACAGGATGGTCTGGGTCGGCCCCCCAGGCTTCTGCACCTATCACAAGGCCCTGACTCACATCACCCTGGCAGGACGTCACGGCGACCGGCCAGAGACTCCGCAACAGGTGCCGCGAGGGAAAGCTGGTACCCATCGTGCCGGGCATCAACCGGGTCGACTGGCCCTGCTTCACACGCGCCATTGAGGACTGGTCCCGCTTCGTGTCCTCGGCCGGCGAGTTCAAGCTGCCCTGCCCGAGCAAGAGGGGTCAGTCTACTGGGTCCGGAGGATGCCCTAGGGCGGGAGAGACCCGGAGCGCCAACTGTGGGTGGAGGGCATCGGGGGGGGGGGGGCTGCGACAAGGACGGCGGGGAAACCAAGGAGCAGCTGGGGCACTGAGAGCGGGCAGGACCGAGATGGGCTGAAGGACAAAGACGTGGGTCTCGTCTTGGAGTGGGGGCAGGGGCCAGGTCCCGGCCCGAGGGAGCCATTGGGCGGAGGCTGAGCGCGGGGCGGGTTCTGGGACGGGTGGAGCAGGGTCTAGAAGCGGGGCTTGTCCTGGCGGGGCGGGGCAGGCGGGACTGGCTGACCCAACGGGTGTGGGCGTGGTTCGATCCAGGGGCGGGGCTCAGGTACGGGCGGGGGCGGGGCTTGTTCGGGGTGGGCTGGGGGCTGGAGAAGGGCGGTCTCTCCGCAGTCGAGAGTTTCAGTGGCTACGCGGTGCGGTACTTGAAGCCGGAGGTGACCCAGAACTGGCGGGTAAGGAGGGCTGTGCGCTGACCTGTTCCTGGGGACCAGGGGGTCGGGGAGGAGAGGCTAACACGGGGAGCGGGGTGGGGAGAGGGCACCCAGAGCAAGGTTTCCCGGTCCCCAGGGCCAAGATCTCTGGCAGAGAGCGCTGTGGCGGGCCGGGGCGGGGGGGGGGGGGGGGGGTAGTGGCCCCCGCCCCCCCCCCCCGGCTCACGGATCCCCCATTCCTCTGGCCCGCGCCAGTACTGTCTCAACCAGAACCCCAGCCTGGACCGCTACGGACAGAAGCCCCTGCCTTTTGACTCCTTGTAAGTGAAGCCACAGACCTCGGGACCCCATACCTGGAGGAGGGAGGATGGAGCCTTGGCCGCTTTCCTCCGAGCACCTTTAGTGACTCTTGAAAGTGTGAGACCCGGGAAAACTGCTGGGTTCCAATACACCACAAGGAAATTGCAGTTTCGAACTGAATAGATGTTTAATCAAACGGAGCATCCTGTCGTCCAGTCCCTGGCAACCCCACCTTTCGGAGTGGAGGCATTAGGTGGGACCAGGGTGGAATGTAATCCTTCTGGTGGGATGGCGCCTCCCGAGATGGGAGTGAGGTTCCCGGAGAGGGTCACCATTCCCCACCTCGGGCTCACCATCCTCCTCCCTTTTTGGCAGGAACGCCTTCCGACACTTCGGCTCAATCTACAGGTAGGGGAATGACCCCACTCCTGCTCCGCACCCGGCCACTCCTCCGTCGGGCTGTGTCCTGGCTGCCTCTGGGCTCAGGCAACTCTCAGACCCCTGTCCACCCCGCCTCGAGCCAAGGGATTGGTACCCTCTGGGTGATATCCAGGGGGCCGACCTGCTTCCCTCCGGAGAGATCCGTGCCAGGCGAAAGTGCAGCCTACTGGGAGATGGGGGGAGCAGAGTGCATGTCCCACCCGATTTGGCTCAGACTAGGCCAAAAGGAGGGGGGCTTACCAGGGAGGAGAGCAAGGGCTGATGGAAAGAACCAAGAACCGAGAGTCTGCCTTCCAGGATGTGGATAGGTGGGAAGGGCTGAGGCTCCTGTTTCCAGCAGGAAGATGTAAGGTATTCAAGCACCTTCATCTTTCAGCCCTCTCCCAACTCCCAGGCCCCCTTTCCTCCACCGCAGCAGTACCACACTCCTGGATGTCCCCCAAAGCACCAGCACAACCAAGCATGCCACACTTTTGCTGGTGCTGTTTCAGGGCCCAGGTGATCCTTCCTTCTCTGCCTGGAAAATTCCTCCTCACTCTTGAAAGCCCAGCCTAGATGTCCCATCCTCCTTGAAGTCTTCCCTGAGGCTCCCTTGAAGCCTCTCCCCTCCAGCTCAAACCCCCTCGGGTTGGTCCACCACAGGTGCATCCCTATCTGATAGCACGTAGACTACTGCGTTATAATAATTGATGGAAAGTTTGCCTCCTCTCACCCACCCTGTCCACACACAGGGGAAAGCTTTCTATTTTACTATTATATACTATTGTATAATGCCTGCCAGCGTAAGTGCACTAAATGTTTGAAAAATGAGTAAAGCGGGGCAGGACTGGGGATCAATGAGAAACAAAGATGAGGCAAACTGGAAGGGGGGGGACTGAAAGTCAAGCAGAGTCTCTGAAAATATATCATTGAAAGGAAATAGGGAGCCACTGAAGGCTCTTGAGCCATAGAGAGATAGGATGGAAGCTGTGTTTTCAGAGCTTCGAGGACAGGAAGGTGGGTTTGGGGGGCAGGCCTATAGAAGGACAGCTTGATTTTCCCCAGGACACCCTGGAAGCCCCTGCCTCACCCCTGTTTCTCTCCACAGTCGTGTCAACTATCTGACCCCCTGGCATTAATCGATGAAAAGGAAGCCGAACCTCAGGCTGCTGGACTATGCCACTCAGGTTCTCCAGCAGGACAGAGGGTATATGGTGGCACCACTCATTTCCCTATGAGTTCGGCCTGACTGGAAATAAATCTAATAATAATAAACCAGGTTTCTCTCTCTCTCTCTCTCTCTCTCTCTCTCTCTCTCTCTGTTGCAGGGATTGGGAGAGAGGTCAGTACCTCAGGATGATGCTCTTACCTTTACCTGCCCCCCACCAACTCCTGGAGGAGTGGGGGGGGTGCTGGAGAAAGATGTTTCGTGACCCCAGGTGAAGAGTCAGGGTCTAAGCCCCAAGGCTCAGCCGGGGGTGAGGTGCAGAGTTAGCCTGGGAATTGGGTTTTCCCTGTGCCCCTGTCCCCTGCTCGCAGACCCACAACCAGGCCCCCTCCACCTCAGACTTTGAACTCGGGCCCTAAAGAGAAAAGAGGAGGTTTGAAAGGAATTTTAGATACTGCTCTCAGAAGCTTTTACCATACCAGTATACTCTGGGGGCTTCCCTGGATCTGGCAGGCTCTGGTAGGCTCAAGGCAGCCTCTGGGCGTGGAGCAAGAATCACCTACTCCCTCCACAGAGCTTCAGGACTAGCCCTCACATCTGTCCACCAAACTACAGAAAGGAAAACACGATGTCCTGGGGATAGCCATGGGCTCTCCTGGGCCAGGTCCGGAATAACCGCACTCAACGGGCTAAGGAAGACTGTCTCTGGCATGGTTAGGGAGAGCCAGGATCAATGCACAGCTCCCTTCCAGATAGCCCACCCGCATCCCACTTGTGGTCAGTCTGCAAGGACAGATCCCAACCAGGATAAATAGCCACCAAGCTCTAAGACTATCTGAACAAGAGCCCTGCAGCTAGGGTCTGGGGCCTCAGGGATCCTTGAAACTTTTGAAATCATGAGCAAAACTGTATGTGCCCCCCACATACACATTTTCCCATGGAGAGGCTCCTTGTTTTCATCTGATTCTCAGGAGAGTCAGTGCCCACACAGGTTAGGAAACCTTGACTTACAGTTTCCCTATCCCCTTCCACTAATAATTACTGAGCACTTACTGCATGCAAGCTAGGTCTCAGGTGGAAGGAATTTAAAGAATAATACCAGGTTCTTATTTCTGGACCCTATGTTACACTATTCAGAACACACCGTCATGTGACTTATTATCTCCTCCATGCCCCATATCCCATAAACACTCTGAAAAGTGACCAGAACGAATGCTATCCTATATCACAGATGGGAAAACTGAGGCCCAGATCAGGAAGAAGTTCACTTTGGCCACACCCAGAACTCAGGACTCAAAGCAAGTCCCAGCCCTTGACACAGTGTTCACATAGTTTGCGCTCAATGTCGTAGAATAAATTATTTCCCAGAATGGGAGGTCTTTTGTTCAATCTTGGTTAAAAAAAAGAAAACAAGGAGACAGCTTTATCGTTGTCATCTGATAATGCAGACAGAGCCTGCCTTACAGACTCTAGGCTGACTTTAATTTCTTTTAGGGGTGGAGGTGATGGTTACTATCCTAATACGGAGGTGAGGGACCATGGTGTCTGTCTCTCTGTCCTCAAGGGTGGGGTTCTGCTGACAATAGAGCAGGAGCATGGGGAGGAGCAGATGGGGAGTGGTAAACAGATCATGGAGCCCCTTCTTCCTTGGGGGCCTATCGAGAAGGTATCCAGCTTCCTGCCATTTCATGCAGGAAGAAACGCTTTCCTCCAAGCCCAGCGGGCAGTCCACCTTGCTTGAACCTCAGGAAGTCCCTGGCAGAACCTCTTGGGGTATCAGAGCCACATCCTGCAAACCTGAGTGCCTCCTCCAACATGACAGCTCAGAGAAGGGATATATCTGCCCAAGGCTCCCTTCACAGCAGGGATGCTGGAGTCGAGTCCTGGCCTGTGTGGGCCTGGGACAGCCCGAGAGCATGCCTCAATGTACCAGAGGGAATCAAGTGCCTGGGTTTTTTTTTCCTGGCCCTGCTTCCCTGACGCTGAATGACTGGGCAAGGCCCTCCGGGAATTTGGCCCAGCAGACATTTGAGGCTTACCCGGCCCCATGCTGGGTGCAGGAAGGACACAGACCAGACGCCCTCCCTTCCTGGGAGGTGCTCCCCGTACAGGAGGAGGAAGGCAGGCCCAGCTGATTCAAACTTGAAAGCAGAAGGTGAGAATGTGGGCACACCTAGACCACATTCCTCAAGCCCAAGACACTGAAAGGTACGGTAACCCACACCAGCAATGTAATTAGGTTCTTGCTCACCAATTGTACACTGAATCCTGACTCCGTAGACCTAAAAATGTGTATCCAAGAATAAAGCAAATGCAGAGTGGATGAGCATTAACAAGCCTGATTCAGTATGTACTTTCTTTTTTTTTAATTAAATAATTTATTTTTAATTAATCTCTATGCCCAACACGGGCCTCAAACTCAGGACCCCAAAATCAAGAGTCCCATGCTCTTCCAACTGAGACAGCCAGGCACCCTACCACTTTCTATTTTTTAAGCGTAAGATAATGTATTAAACACTTCTCA